CTTCTGACAATTCACTCATGTTGAATTCTATGAAAATATATCAAGTGGATAATTACTTTTTGAAAACTTACTTAACGCATTTCAAAAAGCTATTTAACTGGAATGCTTGCCCGCGTGCACGATATCAACACGTATAAGCGTCCAGGGTGCAATACACATTTTTCCACTTTTCTACATGTCTGCCTATTCGTGAGTATTGGTGTGCGCCTCTGTGAATTTTCCACACTTCTTTTGTTTGTGCCAGCACTGCGCCACGTATAAAAATTATTATTGTTATACAAGCGACCGTAAAGTTGAAAATAATGGAATTGCGTCGGGCGGGTTGGTGCGATATCGGTGCCTGCGGTATCGTATGCGTAAACCAGGCCAATATTACAAAAAAAAAAACACAAAGAACAGCAACTCGGAACTGCATCGAGTGCGCGAAGCGGAAGCGCAAGACCCGCCGACGCAAACAAGTGCAAAACAAAACGCACATTGAGTCGAGTACGCGAGGGATAAGCGGAAAAGAGTTTATAATTAAAAAGTTTAACTCTGCTTTCCTTCAAATACACAAATATATTATATAGTATAAAATGTAAAAAAAAAGACACAATTTTGGCAGAAAAGTTTCTCATTATTGATAATCATTCCATCATAAATAATAGCATCCGAAATATCCATTATTACGCACGCATACATCATGCGATCGACCGTTATAACTTCATTAAAGCCTGGGACACATCGGAATTCGAACAAGGCACTCGGAACTAGATTATTCCATCCGACGTCACTCTCGTCGGTAGGTTGATGTACGTCGCCGACGCATGATTGATCCGATCGAATAGTAAAACTAGTCGCAGCGCGTGCGACAGCAGGGTCTACGCATTAGCGACATTAGACGTATTACGAAACAATCCAATTAGCAGTCAACCATCGCTGGTTGAGACTTGCGGTGCGCGTTCGATTTGACCTTCGTCGTCTAATCATCGCAGCGAAATGAAATTTTGACGGGTCTTATAATACATATTTGTGATGAGGACGCGTAAACGTCATTTGGTTATTTTGAATGTAATTACAGTGTTGGCATCGCCCGGTATCGAAATGAAATATTAATGTTTAGTCGTCCGTACCCCCTGAGTAATATTGTAACATTATTACAGCTATGCTCGGGTTTGTATTACGAAATTCCGGGCGGCGTTGACGCGGGGATGGCGTTGTTGGTGGAGGCGCCGGACACCACGTGCCGAGAGGGAACGCACTACTCGCGATCGATGTTTCCATTAAATTTGATTAATTACACTATAATAGTTGTGTTTAATGCACGTTGTACATTTATGCGACGTTGTTATAGCCCATGCATTCATCGAAATGTATGAATAATACACACGACGGACGCCTGCTTGTAAAATTAGTTAGTTGGTAATTATTTTTCAATTTTTAATTGGTGTATATTGTGTTTGAAGTGCAATCAACATGAAAAAAACGCATTCACTAGGGAAATAACTTGTTTTGAACTTTTGTAAACATCATACACACCTATGACAGTAGTGACAGGAAATTTTATGTTTGAAAATAGAGCTTTTACTTGTAAATGTCGATATGCTTTAGCGCATTGTCGATCAATCACGCGCAATTAATTTTCGTTCATTTCGTGTTGTAAAAATGTTAATAAAGCATAACAACTTCAATTATTTGTTGACATTTTGCAAATTAATTTTATATAATTATTTATGTCTAAATTTTACAAAATAAGTTTGGTTTGCAGCACGTATAAAACATTTTATTTGTAATTGTTTTAAATGTTCACTCAGTATTATTGTAGTATAAGGTAATATAATATTTTGCTTGGCTTTTTCCGATGCTCGTTTAAATGTTTTATTGTCGCTTACCGGTTTACGCATTCCATCCGACTTCCGCTCGACAAACTCCACATCGCACACGTGCTATGGCCGCACATCACTGCGAATGCTCGTCTGCATTCTTTACAAGTCTAGTATACGTACTAAATATATACAACAAGGAGGTTGCGTGAATCGCGTGAATTGCGAATGCAAAATGCGTGCATTATTTATTTGTTGAGGGCGAATCCTCGCATTGGGCTTTCATGTTCACAGAAAAAAAATATTACAATGTAGGAAATTCATAGAAACATATTTATATTTATATTTAATTATGAGTACAATACATTTACCTACGCAATCTATAAAAATTTGACAAAAGTTTATGTTTGTTCAATGAACTGCAGCGAATTTGAAGCCTTTTAAGTAGTTTGAGTTTGTTGAATGCTCGTACCCATATCATTCTTCTGCATTAACGCCGCTCTCAAACTCTGAGAGAGGCGAAGATAAGCTCGTCGTGGGTGCTTGGAGTGTTATGGAGATACACTCGACATGACTGTGCATGCACAACGGACGCTGTGCACTCGTGAGTGCTCCCGTTCTTCGATGATTCTCTAACGACGCTAACGTGCGCACGATATCACTGCTTTATTGCTTTCCGATCGCTTTTGCAACGTGCTATGTAGGACAAACCACAAACTACCAAACCATCAAATTCCAAACATTAACACATCACAAAAGTTTTGTCATATTACCTAAATAAAAGTTAAATTATATTTGTATAGTGATACAGTTAATGCACATTATTATACAAATGCAGATGCACGTCCGTTTTGGCAATGTAACCAATGCAAAGAGCTTAACAATGCGCCAAATTCAGGACGTGGAGTCCTGTGTGAGTTACGTTGCCTGCAACGCCGGGCGTTGGCAGGCGTCGGCGAGGCTCGCGCGTAAATAGAAACGGCGAGCGCGAAATGAATCACCAATTACGTACAAGTCTAGATTAATTATGTAACTAATGAACGCTAATTCCCAGCAATAACATTAATTATGAGACGGTGTAACAGCGCACGGCCGCTATCCGTGTTCGTCGTTAGGCCACGTTAGCTATTCAGATGGGATAAACAAATTTCTCGCAATATATGCTTGCAACATTATCCAGACACAGGTTGCGAGGATTATGCATTCTAAAGCGTTATAAAGTGAATAGAATTATGCTGAATTTCATATTCAAATTTATTGCATTAGGTATCTACCTTTATAGGTGCTCCCAATGAAGGCTTATAATAAATATTTAATATTTTAAATTCAATTTTGCGACTTTTAGGTTTTATCATTTGATATTCAGGGTTATTCAGTCGGACTCGAGTCAAGTTTTTCCGTTTTGCCCAAACTATTTTCCGTGTTGTTGGGATTGTATTGTTGGGGACCAGTTTCAGAGCACAAAAACTACTGCCGGATATACTCTGGAAAGGATCCCAAAGTGATTGGAACCGCACAATGGAAATCCGGTCCACTCTTGCGTGCCCGATTTGGCCACAAAGGTTACCTTTGAAGTTTAAATTTTGAAACTTTGAAGGAGTTTGTCACTGCAATCAAATTTGTTCACCTTGACATCAAATCTAAAATAGTCCACTTCATTTTTTTTAATTACAACTTTATTATGCTAACTGCAATAAAATCCTTTAAGTCTTGATGGTGTTGCGGTATCGAAACATGTTTTGCATAAAAATATGTTGATATATCCTCAAGGATAACTAAGAAAAACCTTCAAATTGTTACTGAATCTAGTTTTTGTTGTATTTTCTTCAGCTTTTGTTTTTTGTTTGTTTCTACCACTTTCTCGTGTTGTACATTGGTGTTTTCTTATTATTCCATTGTGTCTACAAAGAAAATGTTATGAATTGGTGTTATCAGCGCGCATCGCATGTTAATAACACTACTTCGAATAACAAACTTTACAAATCTGGCATAACACCAACGACGTCGCGTCCGAAGAAACCGCGTATACGTCTTGGTTTTTGGGCGATTTTCCGGACGAAGTGCGTCGAGTGCCGACCCTCTTCGCCGAATTATTTTGCCGTTTCATTAGAATTTATAATAACCCGCTTGGGCGCTCGCTCGCTTGGAAAATGCCGCATAAAATACGTCCCGCGAACAAACGGCCCCTAATTCAGTATTTCCTCGCATAGCTTCTCGTCGTGTTTACGCCTTCTGAAAGCTACCGCAAGCAAAGTTTTGCAAATCGCTTTCCTCTATACCTTTCTATATTTCGTATCATGCCCACAATGCGTACCTTAGAAGCCAGCATCCACCTTTCGATGCTTTTTGGTGCGCGCTCTGCAAGATGTTGCGTTCGTTATGAGTATTGCATAAATTAACCAAGTCTCGAAACCGTTGACTCTGCACCGCAATATCACAAAGACGAGATTACCGCTGCGGCAAGATATGAGAAATTATGAGTAGCAAACTTTATATTGAAGTAGTCGAAGACATTGCAAACAGGAGGGGAAACACTCCTACTGCATTAGAAACTTCAATTTTGCACAAAGTTGTTGAAAACAGCTCTCTTGGGACCAGAAAAGTAAACAGTTTTTGTGATGATAACAAATCACGTTTTTAAAATTAGTTATTTTTAGCATTCAAACATAAACAACATTTAAATATTTGAAATATATTTAATGGAATGAGTTTCTAAAATTTACTCAGTTGTCAGTGAGCTAACTTTTTTCAACTTTTTAATTTAATGCCCAACGGAAAAGTTGATTAAACCAAATAAAAATAACGCCACATTCAGGAAAGCTCGTTTTGATTAAAAACTTTTCTTCGGCCGTAACTCTATGCGTTACTCTATATACATGTGCAGCTGTGGATGGTATTTGCATGCGCGTATTCAGTCCGTAAACTTTTCCATCAAATTTTATTTTTTTGCAATTCTCTTTTGCACCAGTCCTGCTTTTAGATGGTGATGGACCACAATCCATGCGTGTTTTTTCCAGGCGTTTGTTTTACCAAACATTTTCTGCTTGGTAAGCTCGCAGGAATTCAGTAGCAATAAACATCGACTACAACCATTGTAAAAATAATAAAATTAACTGAAATGTGTGTTTAGATAGCAAATGATTCCAATATATAACTTAAATATCAGCATATTATATAAATTTATTTCTTTTGTTATAGTGGCCTATGTGAATCTTGGCGCAGCATTGATATCTGCCGGAAGGTGCCAGGAAGCAGTGGCGATCCTCAGACAAGGCGCACGTGTGGATGGTGCAGGTTTGAAGGATCGTCGGGAGCATGATGCAGCCAGAGTTTCAGCATTACTACAACTTGGAGCTCTATATTCGGACCAAGGTAGATTGCAACGTGCTTTGGCAACCTACAGGGAGGCGGCACATTCCTTGCCTGACCACTATCCACCTCAGGTTAGTCAATAACTTAGTGTATTGTGTTGTTGACATTCAATGAACATAATTACTTACAATTAGTATAATAAACAACCAACACAATTATGTGGGGTCTTCCAAGATTTAGGGCAATAACAATTTTGAAGTTTTGATTGCCATTACCTAAAATTAGGTCTGCAGGTGTAAAGCGTGTAATATCTCCTTGACTTTACCGTTTCACCTCGAAATTCTAATAACGCAGCCGCAGGTTTGTTGATAGTCTTCTCCGGGATGATGCCCAATCCTCGGCGTTATTAAAATCCAGCGCGGGCGACGCAATAATGGTTATTACGGACAGTCTGAGATATGAGAAACAGTTTCGAATGCGAATTGGTTGGTGGTTTGTGTGTAATGCTGTGTAATCGGTGTATTATAGCAAGCGGGTAGTCGTCGTTGTCGTCATCGTTGGCGGCGAGGCGGCGGGCGGTGTGTGTATCTGCACTTAGCGTGATTATCAGCGGCGGCGGGCGGGACATTTATCAGGCGCGTGGAAGAACGACGCGGGGGCCACAGCTGGCCCCGAAAACGGGGCCAAAACCCGCCGCCAGATGGTCGCTCGTCACATAACCTACGTTCGAGTACGAGGCGGTGTGTGTATACAGTCCGCATTCCACTGGGGACCTGAAATTAACTGAACACGAATTTATCATTTTGAGTGGATGCACGCAAGATGACAGGGGATTTGATATTGCAAACAACGGGATTTAAAAAGACGTTAAATTGTCGAATGATTCCAGAATAATAATGCAGCTCAATATACATATACATATTTTTTTCTGTCTATTCTTATTTTCACCTTCAATAATATATCATTCCTTAAAAAGTTGTACTTACTTACACGAAAAAGTTAATTAACCGTTCTTATGGTATTTCTAATTCCCAATGCTACCATTAATCAATAATTAAAGCACTCAAAGAATGAAATAAACGTAATGAAAGCGTATTTTCTGTTTTTACGCGACTTGCGCGAGGAGTTTAATAAGGGATCAATAACGTGGGCGTAATAAAAGTGAACATTTACGGCGTGCGCCAGCTTGAAATACTGGGCGATATTAAATTACGAGTGCAATTTGCAATAACTTTCAAACTTATCGATTGCCCGGAATTGCAATCGTCAAAAAACGCTGATTGACACTAATATACCATAATTATTCCACGTTCCTACTTTTAAACTCAATTATGACATAGAGATTTTATAGATTATAGGATTTTATTACAGGATTAAGTTACTAGTCAGAAGAACTTTTCATTTTAATATTGGTTCAGGAAAAAGAGATAATTTTAAGCTTTTAATTTAAAACTTTGATTTTTCTTGAATCGAGAAAAATCTAATATTCTGAAATTAATATTTTATATAAATATCATTAAAAAGTTATTAATTTATTGTATTTCGTGAAATAGAGTTGATAGAACAAGTTTTATTTGTTTTTGTTTGGCAATTTAAGTTTGCACTTGCTTCATTAGCCCGCTAGCGAGATAAGTAAGTTCATAAAACTATTAAAGTCGGTCGCACCAGAAAGAGTTTACGGCCATCCTTCGTTTTCAAGCGGCGACACGCTCTTCAGTTTAATATGACATTAAAAATAAAGTTTTTGTGCTCCTCATCTGTCCAAAAAATATTTTCAGTCAATACTGCATATATAAATCCCAATTTTAAAAAAATATTTTGCCTAAACATCGAATTGATAAAAAAATGCTGTAAAGTTTTAATAATTTTAAATATTATCTAAGCGTTTAGGTTAAAATTTTAAACATACTGTAGATGTAATAAAATACGTGTCGTCGCGTTCGTCGTTTGCCGCCGAGCTTTCCTCTTCTCCGGCCAACGACGCTCTCGTCAACTAGGAAACAATTAAAAAGTTTCTAATTTGCTTTTCGCGTTATTACCGTTGAAATTAAACTCCCTTTTCGTAATTAACAAATTCTTCATTTTCTTCATTATACGCAAACAGGCGTCGGCGTTCACCGCCGGCGCCGCACAGCTTTCACTTCTCGGAAACCCGGCGCATCCACCATCACGTCCACTTTCGTTTCATATCTGCGAGACGGAATTGATGGCGTCGAATTTGTGATCGGCCTCGGCTGTAAATCCCGCGTATAAATCTCGTCGAACGTCAATTACGCATTAATAATTCCGCCGACGCGCAAAACTTTCGTATATATACAAGAATGTTTTTGATTGCTTTTTAAATCGTATTATTCACCACAGAGAATTTATTCTGAAACATTAACAACTATTTTAAATAGCACCGAATTTTTGTGGTAAATATTATAGATGCCAAGCACGTTTAGGAGTTTTTTGGTTGGCAATTTGAAAAGTTTTTTCTACGCATCGGTAGGCACTGCGAGGTGTTCTCAACGTGGTCGTTTTCAAAGCGAAGACTTTTTACTTTCGCGGTTGCGCTTCAATCAACATGCGCATCCCGAGAGGGTGCTATCAGCGCTCGCCGCCATTAGGTATGTATGGGCGCAGTGTGCGCTTCGGCGGGTATTAAAAGAAAAGTCCGTTTGGAAATTTTTGCAAATTGGTTCGCCACTACTTGTTGGAATTTTAATGTGAAATTTTCTTCTGCTTTACCTTTTTTCGGCGCCTTCATCGGGAGAAAAAATAAATATAAAAGTTTCTAAACAGTCGGTATATTAAAATCTCTTTTGCTGGTCGGCGTGTTTGTCATGATTATGCGCCCGGTTAAAATGGCGATGCGTTTTCGCATTGTGAAAGCTTATGGAGATTACATGTATATTCCATTATCATATACTTGCATAAATTTATGTATCACTCCCTGCGCCGTGCTCGCGATAGAGCGAACGATGGCTTTGGGGCTCGGCGCACTTTTCCTGCGTGCATTCGACGCGAAATCCTGGCGCGCGAGTGCATTTTGTTTCCGTCGGTCTCCCTCTCAGTGTGCATTTGCGGAAAATGTTCGGAGTACATGCGAGACCGTCCCATGAGAATTGGATTCTGAGTTGGTATTAAAATTTACATGCTGCACAAGAGAAAAAAAAAACAGCGCACATACCTACGAACCGACGAGTCGTAGACACAAATTAACCAAATAAACTGTTATCACAGTGTACGTTTTTGCATTTTTGCAAATTCTGCACGTTTAACATTTGTATAAAAGTCAATTTTCAAATAATAGCAAATTTTATCTTTAATTCTCTCACCTTTGTTCGGCCACAATGACCTCTCATTTCTTAACTCTTACTTACTTGTATTCTTTTTTAGTTTGTTTGCGTTGAATGAATGTGTGCTATGTGAGCGCAGTTCAATTTTATTCTCCTCTCACCGACGCTCCGCGCAGCGATAAAACTCAACTCCGATGAGAATTCCCTTTCTTAGGCGGCCATTTTGGCGCGCACATGCAATGTGTGCATTTTGCAAATGAACACACGCCCGGAATGTTGTCTTTGGTCTCTTGTCGACCTCCCAGCCGTCGCCTTCGCAGTCTTTGCGGGATTTCCGTTGTCTCCAGCGCGTTGTTTTTTAGTCCCTGCATTTCCCGACAGAGTCTTAGACGCAAGCGGCCATATGCGCCCGGCATTAGTTTCGGACATTTTCCGGGCGGCGGCGCGCGTCTTCGGAGACATAATCCCTTTTATTGCCGTTTGCGGCACTCCGGAATACGGAATGCACAGGCGGCGCCTTGGGGTGCGCGTTGCGTAATTAGCATGCTGGGGGCGATGCAAAGCGCGCGAGGATTGCATACTGAAACAACGCAAATGTTTGAACTTGCCAATGTTGTTACATAAAACAATAATAGAATCATAAAAAATACAACATTATATAATGTACTTACAACAAAACTTTTCTTATATAAATTTTATATTTTTTTGCTTGTTTCAGAGCGTTTTCAATGTTCTGGGTGAGACTTTGGCAAGATTACAACAAAATGAAGAAGCCGAACGATGGTATCAAGCTGCTTTAAATGCCCAGCCCGATCATGTTCCAGCACACATCACTTACGGCAAATTATTAGCCAAAAATGTAAGTAAAGTTTTTATTTTTTTTCTATTATATGATTTTTTCACTCGTTTGATAATTTATTTAAATTTGTCCTGTCGAAAGCAAAAAATATATTCAGACATAACCAATCAATAACCAGCAAATGCGTGGAGCGTTATTTGACGTTATCGCACATAACACCACGGCCCAAACGACAGTGCTCACACAAACACGCGCACATAAATAAAAGCTCACTGTTGTGTGTAGGTACTGCCTGTAATGCGCAGAGATATAGATAGCCAATCGCCAATCGATTGTGCAATGAAGGGTGGAATCTCGCTTGCGCGCGTACTTTGGCCATCATCCCGTGTGGCAGGAGCAGGACTGCACCGGCGCTGATATGATTGTATACTAGGTGGGAATTAATTCTGACGCGTCATCAATCAATTCGTATTTTTTTAAGTGAGCGATGTGCGCCCAAGGCGAACAAACAAAAAACGCCCGATAAAAAATTGTCATAGAAAATACAACAACTGCATCAAAATACCTCGCAGGTAATTTTTTATGATTCAAAATTGTTGTTTTCGTTGTTGATGCAGTTGCGCATTAACGCCAATGCAGATAAATCATCGTTTGTGATTTTTTTAGTGATTTGACAGCGACAAAACGACGAAATAATAAAATGTAAAGTGAAGTTTTCGAAGATTGCACTTTAGCAAAATAATAAATGTAATCATTATAAAAATCTCATGCGGAACTTTACTTTGAGATTTACTAGTGCTTGCTTTCTCACAAATATAAAGGCAATTGAAACTGCAACGTCATGCACTTATTACATGCACTTTGAGTCGAGTGCGCCATTATTATTTCGAAACGTCAATCGCTTTTCGAAAGCAAACGAAAGCCTGAGGTATTCGCGATGCTTGTTACCTAGCTAAGCTCCCGATTGAAAATTGCAGACCAAAGGGAGAAGGAAACTAGGGATAACTACAACAGTGTTTGCAATCAAACTTCTTGCCGAGATTTACAAACTGTATAAACTGTATTAAACTTAAGTTGTTGTTTAGTGCCGGGGTGGTGAACAGTCGCACGCGCGAATAAAACCAACCAATAACAAACGCAAACACAGCGAGCGCATTAAGGACGAAAGGTGAAAGGTGAATCGCAAGAATTCCGGCTTGCACTTGCACGTATTACAATTGTAATAAGAAGAAAAGGTGTAAGTTGTGTTAGCTGACTTGATTTCGTGATTTCCGATGTAGAAACAAATGCTGTACAAAGTTTTATGATAATTAAACTTGTATTTTGATGTAAATTTTAAAGAAAATTTTAATTTTTTTCGTTATTGATGTCAAATTTTGCAAAAAAAATGTTTGCAATTTATTTTTCTTTTAAAAATAATTAGTTTAATTCTGCGGTCTGCAGGACAATCAAGCCGGTGACTTTGTGTCGCGGATTTGTATGTAACCAGGTCGCGCATAACTAAGCCGCCATTACATTAATATTGCGAACCACCCCTGCGCTCGACTGAGCTAAGGTGAACCGCTCATTAGGAATAATTAGCAGAGAGCACAAAAAAACGTACACGGAAAGAAACGAAACAAAAATAGCAAAGCCAAACAATGCAGGCAGGCATGAATATCACGTTTGCACAATTGCGGCGGTAGTCGCATAAATGTGTAAATAAGGATAAAAAAATTATTGCTAATGTAAGCAATTAGGGCACAACTCTAAAGTTTACTAATCCAACGAGGTAAAAATCATGTTGCATAAATAATTAAATTTAACTCATTTAAAGTACCTACTTTGAAAGAACAACAAAAAAAAACAGTTTGATAACAACGGTGAAACAATAAAATTGAATGGTAACGAGTTGGATAGATATCTGGTGATTAGGAAAATTGGCAATTGAAGGATATCGCCAACTCGCTTGAGTGTTTGGGGCTGCGTTTGCTTCGAAGCCTATGATCGCGAGTATCTACGAGCCGAAGAACACTCGACGGTGGTTTATCAGTAACGAGCGATCGACATGCGATGCACTTTCGTCTAGCAGCCAGTCTATTTAACTACGGATTATCGTGTGCTCACAATCAATCGCGTACGCCCGCTCTCAATCAGATTGCAAAACTTTCCGACTCATTCACGAAAATTTTACTCAAATTTTTGTATAAATCGGAAATTTTATTTTAATTTCATTCAAACGAATAAAATGTTGATATATTTCTTAGTAAAATAATTGTGATTTTTTATAATTCAACAGATTTTTTAATACTTCTTTGTTAGCTTAAGTTTCACCTTTGTACCGTTTGCTTTGCGGGACATAATGAAAGACTAAAACTTCACGAATGTAAATTTCCGGAAATAACCCCACGGTACACGTTCCAACGTGTATTCCTTTGTGTGGAAAAAGTGCGGTCCAAAATTCCCTTTGTGTCCACGTCCCTATAATTCATTGTTAATGAGAAGGTAAGGTTTAATTAGGACTCTGGATAAATATTAATAGAGGACCGCTAACTAGCGCATATATTTGCATTGAACGTCTTCGGCATGCGGCCGAAATGAGCTAGACGGATGATGGCCACTGCCTGCGTCGTCGCCGGGTCGAGCAAACAGGTTAAGCACATAATTCAGAGCCGCATTAATCATATACCACCATCGTGGGCCCAGGGATCGACGCAAAGGACGACGGTCATAAATTGTGTATAAATTTTGCAAATTAATAAATATCTTTCGCATACCTGACTTGTAACAATACAAAACAATAGAATATGATGTTACAAAAGGTGAATATCAAACGCTGTGAACGCGTAAAGCGCAAGATGAAATAGAAATCAATATTATTGTTGCACCTGCAATTGAAGCATCGTTCAACACTGCAGCCCTTTGTACTTGGCGGGTTTCAGGTACATATATCGTACGCTTTTTGGTTTTCCGTTGGAAATTTGTTGAATTTCCAGCCGGTTTTCGTGGAATTCCTTTAGCGTTTCATATCTGCGCGAATGCCTTTGAACTTGGATGCCAACCCCTCTTGCGTTATTTCATCCACATACCTTTTTTAGTGTTTTGCACTGCGTCCGCGCTGGTAAAATGCAAGATATGCGTTGTGGTTGCGGCTCGCCGTGAAAAATCGATAATAAAAGCGAATACTTTTTTACGTCCGTTTATTTCCCCATCTGTTTTCGCACAGCTCCGTTCCGGATTTTGTCGCTCTCCGCTTGTCCCATATTCGAATGCGTCGGCGTCGCCGGCGTCGGCCGGAGATGCATTAGGTCTTCGCGTAGATTAATAACGCGGATTATTTGAGGGTCGCGTCGGGGGTTTCTATTTCGCATCCAAGCGCGCCATAATAGAACGGTTGACATTGGCAAAATGCCGGATGTTTCCGGATGCTTACCATATTTATCAGAAGTAGAGGAAATTTATCCATCTGTTCATTTTTTTTTCTTCACTATACATTTGATCCAACTACCCATGCCTAAAATTTAATCAAAACCGAAAAAACAGGGATTCAATATTTATTTAATGTTCCAAGGATGAAAATTCAATTTCATACGTTTAATGCGTCAAGTAAACACATTAAAAAATCTAAACCTTACGAGCTGAGCAAACATTTTGAACACAAAGTATACGACGAAGCCGATGGCGGTCGGCGGCGTGGGCGGCGCGTGTGGATTTTCAGATTTACTTATTACTATTCCATGCGTTTCTCGCTTTCGCCGCAGCGCGCATTTCTTCCGGCAATCTCTGCCACTCTCATATCGTCGTGTGCGCTTCTTACGTGTGCAAACAATAGTCGAGGCATACCGCGTTTCCAATGTTTCCATTTACAATATTGCAAATGAATAATGTATACAGGGTCATACGCCCGTCGCCTTCACCAACACAGTATTTTAGAAAACCTGTAGACACTAGCAAGCCACTCAATCCAAACATAGTTATTACACAATTTTACAAATTGACAAAAATACAAACGAAACATACAAGTGTATATATTGAATAAATAATGCAATGAAGCGTAAAAGAGGAAGTGCAATATTTGCTTTGCATAATATGTAGAAGTTTATACGTGTGCTGACGTTGTGATGAAGTAATGCAGTGCTAAACGAAACACACACGCGGTTTGATTCCGGAAATTAAAGCGATCGCCGAATGCGAGCAGCGAGCGCATGCATGTTAACAAAGCCAGCGTTGAATTTGCTCATTTCTCGCCCTGTCTCATATATAAAGTTAGATATATCTGAAATTTACTCGGGACGTGACAGAAAAAAGAATCACTTTCATTGTGTATGTAAATGTTTTACTTTTGTTATAGGTGAGTCGACTAGCTGAAGCTGAACAATGGTTTAGAAGAGCACAGCGTTTAGCACCAGACGATCCCAGCGTCTACCATCATTATGGTAAGTATTTTATAAAGTACTTACATTGTAAACATTACTTACATTGCGCAACTTTTATTGAAAACTCACTCGCTCAGTGCTGTCACACAGAATACAATATCTTCAACGAATTCATCCCAATATTTGAATCTTACAAAACTCGTTCCGTTCCGTTACGTAAACCAAAAGAACACCAAGAAGACAATAATATCGTGCAAGCGAGCATCGGTATGAAAACGCCAAACGCAAACATCCACATGCAAGACGACGGGAGACAGTTTGAAATCAAAGAATAAAGCGTCCGACCGTTTGGCGCTGCCGGAGGAGTTTGCTTGCGTTTCTAAAGATGTGTGTGCGCGCACGTCGACGGCGGAGAATTCGTTCCGTCACGTCGCGTCGTCGTCATCGTTCTCATCGCTCTCGTCTCGGAGAGTTTGCAAATACGCCGCGGAATTTATGCCAGCCGTGCACCGAGAATGTCATATATGGCGAGCATCGCAGCAGAACTCTCTTCGGTTGGAAATCATTCGGGCGCAAAGCGATCATCTGTAATCTCTTGGTTGCTCCGCCGGCGCAAGCGAAAGGATTGCACGTAGACCAAACATTCATTGTGTGTACAAATTGCGAATATCAAAAACGTTAAACCAAACGAGCGGAAATCCGTCGAGAAAAATTCGTTTCAAGAAAAATTTTCTATATTTTTCTCTTGTGATTATTATTTATCGATTAATTCTTACGTACCCCAATAGAATATTAAAGAAATTGCTTTCCCAAATCGATCAAACCTGTGATACCGCATCAAGTTTGAGCCGCTGCGGTAAACATTGAAATAAGGTCTCTTTAGCCAAACCTGCCACCTCACCCTCAAAGACGATAAAGGCGTAGGCGTTTTCGGTGCGCATCACTCAGCCTAGCGATGCGTGCGTATAAAAATGAACACAAATATTTACATTTCATGAATATTTTATGCGTCGCGCCGTGCATCGTTCGCCGTGGCGGAAATTAGAATGCCGTGCGTGGAACAAAAGCGTGGTGTACCTGCCTGATGGTCCTGTCTCGGCGGGTCGGATGGGCCGAACATCAGCAGCATCCCTTGCGCACGTGGAGCTACGTAAATATAAACGTGAAGCCCGTAAAAAACCGTGGCGAAGGTGCGCGGGCGAAATGAATACTGCAAATGCCCGCATGTTCTCAACGGGGGTGTCGGGTGTTGCTGCGAAATAGGGAAACATAAAGGAAGAGGAAAGTGCAATGGTTTTTATAGCGTTTCATATTTTTCGCACCGGGATGCATATTTTTATGCGTGCACCGGAAATCTTTATGAAATACGTCAGACGTGACAACCCTAAAAGCAAATTTACAGTTTTTACTCAAAAATGTTAAAAAATTGGAAATTTGTTGATAATTTTTGAAACATTTAGTATATGTATGTCAGAGGTACAGTGACTCATCTTTCTCTCGTGGAATTTTCGGGTTTGGTGGCGAAATTTCGCACTAATTATTAATGAGGAAAGTTTGTTTGGCCGGCGCGCTCGTAATTATTCCGCACCCTCTAGTAAAATAGTAAAATATACGGTGTGGCAGCGAGAATCTAATACATATTACATGTGAAATAGTTTTCGTATTTTGCACACCCGAGTTTAGTTTCACCAGAGAGCGATTATTAATTTTATTCGAAAATCCCCGCGAGAAAAGTAATAATTTTCTGGTTTATGCACATGGTGCCATCTGTTGTGCAATAGATCATAAAATTTATATAAGTGGCCACCCAAAATTCAGATATTATTATATTTTAGCATTTTTTGTTGCGTTGTGCTTCGCCTCGTCGTAGTGTTGAAACTTTGGAAGGACGTGTCTGAGGATCATTCATCATAGCTACACCTTTCACTAATAGTGCACTATGACCTCCGCCGGCTCGTTCTTCCTGTTCGCTCGCCTCATTTTCTACCCTTTTGCTCGCCTTCCTCATTTTCCTCGCTTCGCACGTCCGTCTGCCTCGCCGCAGCTCCTTATAATGCGCAATTCCGCATAATACATTCTCCTTGATCGAAACTTGCTGAATAACAGACCTCACCGACGCCCACGTTTATGTGTGAAGTGATGAAAACCGCGCATACACTTATGTTGTAGAAGGCATCATAGTGTGGCGCGGTAACTACATGAAAATTCAATCAATTACTCTCTTTTAGTTAAAGCGATCGCTCTCGCGCGCTCGTCGATCGACGGCGGCCGGAGTGAATTGACGAGAATAGTTCGCTTCGTGTTTGAGCCGTTATTGTGAATCATCGGGGCGTACCACGCGGCGAAAAAAAACTTCCTGCTGGTTTTTGCATCGACATTGAACGAAGCATGCTGAAAACTGGAACTAGAACCGTTGGAACATGAAAGTCTATTAATGTGTTACATTGTTCTTTTGATAGACAAAAAAGGAATGTGAAAAGAACGCACAAAAGAAAAGTTAGTTTCACGTCAAACATTTAATTAATATTTAAAATGCTATATGTAGCGCCATCTGTATTCAAATTAACATAGGATGAATGCTAATATTACTTATTTTTAACATTTGCACACCGGCAATGTACTTGAAGCATTTAGCAGTCTCAAAAGAACATTTCATACACTCGAGTTCGTGCCGCAGTAATATTATAAGCGAAAATACACACGTAATATTTGCCATAACGAGAAGCGGCAAAATTCTGTTTTGTCTGCGCGCGTCTTCCTACGCCGACAGTCTCTAATTCGGCTTTTATACTTTTACATGCCGCCTGGCTGAAGCTGCGAGTGCGGGGAACAATTATGCAAATACCTGACAAACGTAATGAGCCGTTGAAAATGTGTAATTGTCGGGTGGCGCATGAATAAAACGAGGACTTCTTTTAGCCCCAAGTTATATTCCACTTTTCTACCCTCTTCCCAACGGAATTCTCCCCTTTTTCTATACTTACAAAAAATGGCAAAAAATAGAAACGCAAAAAGTCATATTTTTGACTGTTGCTCTTCCGCGAGTTGTTTAAAGTATGTTTAATTTTTAAAACAAAGTTTATATAAATATTTCAAAGAAATTTGTATTGATTTTAGTGCCTTGTGCCTTTACTTCATCTTAAAAATTGAATTTCAAATCACTGCGAAAGGTTTCATGGAACAATACAACACAAAACTGAAATCTGCAATATTTTATTCAGTGTTTTGAATTTTTTGACATTTTGTGTACCAAACTTACCATAATTTTTATCGGTCAGAAAAATGCAACATTGAAACTATATTATTGTTATAAAATTCTCGAATATAACTAAATCCAAGTGAAGCAGGCGCACGAAAACGGGTAGCAACCAAAAGTGATATTATACTTTATACGTCATAAAGAACTAAAAGCCACTATAGATCCCGAGATGGTTGGCTCGTTCGCCGGTTGGATTCGTTTCCGTGAGCGCGCCACGCTTCCCCCGAAGTATATATTGTAATAAGTTGGAACTAATGCAAAGAAAAGTCGTGACGGTGGCTGGCGGCTGCTTGATGGCGACCGTGTGCTCCTTGGCGCTCTACGTAGTTTGTTGGTTGTGGTAGTAGCCGTTTGGAAGGATTCGTTTTATCGGATGATAAATAAAATTCCGAATAGCCCATTTGATCCTTCTTTAAACTCATCCCTGGTTTTACCGCCGACATTAATTCTTATCTTATCGTTCTGTTTGCTGTTCTGCGCGAGTGTTCGACCTTTAAGGAACAATTTTCCACCAGGACTTTCTCTTAGCACAGCCGAATATTTGGCAAACGCACAAACTGCAGACGTATCAGGAAGCAGGAGTTTGATAAAAAGTTACAAGTTATGAGGTTTTAATCCTTTTTGTTTTAAAAATAATATTTTTCATGAATGAAAATCTTTTTTATTGGCATGATTCATATATGTTGTCATATTCCACACGTTTGTATGTTTTATTCGTTTTTATTATTGTCACACTTCCCGAGGGTGGGCGAGGCGTAAAAGCGACATAATTTTTTTTCATTTATTCGTGGATCACGGCGTCGCGTGGAATTCTCGCACGCCGGCGATAAATAAAGTAATGACATAACACGGCGGGACGCCGACAAGGGGTGCCAGATTCCTGCACACCCTCTTTCGCTTGTAGATTTTTGTTCTTTAAATTTGCTTCGATATTAAACGCGACACAAACAAAAAAAATTCTGAAGGAAAAAGTGCTGATAAAATGACATTTCTATAGAAGCAGGAGGCTTCTTGTATTCAACTCGTATGAGCTATATACTCGTAAAGTCATGTTGGTGGAAAGAATTTAAGTATAAAAAGGCGCAATCTTTTTATTGTCATGTCGCGCATGAAGCGTTTCGTTCTCAAGATTGCCATGCGAGCAATGATATTTTGGAAAAGAGCAACTTTTTTTTATTTGCAACGCTCTCTTGTTTGCTAACAAAAGTCCAAACGTTTTTGCTTAGTCGATATATAGAGTAGCGTATACTGAAACAATTTCACAAAAGAAAAACTCGCACATTGAGCACTTGTTTAATATTTTTTAAGTGCAAAAAGTAGTTTGTTATAAAATAACACAATTTACTTTTTTTAGCAAAGAAAAACGTAAAATTTATGAATAAATTTTATTCTATACCTTCAATGGGTATTCTGACTTGACTTTTTTCATCCCTCACATATGATGTGTATCTCGCCGTTTGTATTGTGTTAAATCACGTGTATGCTCGTTGAGTGTATTGCGTATTGCGCCGAATTCTGTTATTCGCATTCGTCCTTCCGCCGAGCGTGTAGGTGTAGCTATTGTTCCCGTATTCCTTGTTCTCGTGCGCATCCCAGAAAAGTATCATCCACTCAAGCCGTGTCAGGCGTCGCACTGTGTGTGTATATTGCTTTAATCCCTCATCTAAAAATATCATATGCACCCTCCGACGGGCATGGAGCCTTCGCGATGTACTGGAAGAGGAAAAGGCAAATGGTGGAGGAAAAGCGCACATGGTGGAGCGTAGTGAAGCGAGGACTTATTACCATATACATCGCGCACTTAAACGCGCAATGCGATATCAGGGCACAAAGCTGACAAGCTGCCTTGTTAGAAAAATATTGCTGGAAACATAAAAAGCATGAAAACAGCAAGGCATTTGATTTCCAGGAAGATATGAGGGAAACAGCTATTATTCTATAAATATCAACGGCTAAGCTGCAATTAGTGTAACTCCATTGTGCAATGACTTACAGTATTTTAATTAATGCCTAACCAAACGTATAGAGAACAATGAGAAAAAATTTAATAAATACAGTGATAAAAATAGCGTTAGAAGAAAAACACATTGAAAATATGACAAATATTTTTGTAGATGATATATTATTCATTTGTGTCGTTTCACTTTCTTTTGTTTTTCACATTATTTCGCCTTTTGTGCGTATATTTCCCCTAAAAAAATATTCCTTCGCGTTGCGTATATGCTTCGACATGGCCAAGTTTGGAAGATGTATAAATTGATTTTATAAATCAATATTCTTTACGATGGCACAGCTGTTCCGAACAGGCCGTCGAACGGAACGATACAATACACACACATACCGCCGAAAACTCTTCCAACACTACGTGTATTCTATGTACTTACTTGGCCAGAAAGGCAGAGGTGCAACCTATACGTTTCCACTTCTACTGCCCAAAAAAACGAAAGCAAGGATGGGCGGAAAACACAACGGTGCGGTGCTGGTGCCGTCGGGACTAAATCGAAAGGAAAACGTCGCGCTAGCGCTGGCAGGCTGGAAATGGTGAAATATACTGCAAACACAAATTCGTTTTGTTCTGTCTTCCACACGACTCGAGCCGTGCTCGGCCGTCATTCCTCAATACGCGATATAAGATATAATAATACGTGGAAAAAGTGGAAGGCGCAGGCACGGCACGGGCGGAAAACAAACGATATTCGCGGAAAACAATACCAGCAAGTCGAAATCGAGAGCGACCCGTTTCGTCTCTTTTCCGTTTTGCTTCAAAGACGCGTGCCCGCCGGCCGTTGCACGATATTTCGTTTGCTGATGTCATTTTCTTACATGCCGTGTTCCTAAATTATATTCCCCTTCAATTTATTTCCAGGCTTTCTCTGAAGCTTGGACTTAAGAAATACGATTTCAAAAATGTAGACAATTGCCATTTTAATTGTCTAATTTCTGGTTTGGATAACCAAAAAATGTCTTCTTCTTTGAGACAAAGAAATGCGGATTTTTAAATTAATTTATACATTTATTGTTCCAGGCGAATTTTTAGCCTCAAGGGGGCGGCACAAAGAAGCAGCAGGGCTCTATGAGCGAGCAGCGGAATTACGACCACACGATTTTGAACTTTCTGTGGCGGCAGCAACGGCCATGCGACAAGCAGGACGACATCAAGATGCAGAACGATGGTATCGGAGAGCAGTCATCATTAAACCATCGGTAGGTGACGATAAAAATAATAATTTAAGCTTGAATAACCTTTAAATACAAACATAATCACTAATGTCATAAGTTAACCAAAGTTCGCACTCGAGTTGATTATGATTTGCTGCAAAATTAATTAATCCTGGTGGGAATTGCCGGGCACTCGTTAGGCGTTCACGACCATGATGATTATTAGTTTACCTGGTAGGTGTTCAGCGCTGAAAAGGTCAGCGCATATTAATTAAGGCATCGCACAATAACGCAGCGCGAGGCGTCGAGGGCGTGATAAAACGACCGGCGTCGTCGAACGACGAGATTAATATCGCTCGGCGGCGGCAGCGGGCGATTTGTTTGTTGCCCAAATAAATAACATTTTAGCTTTAACAACCACCCGCAGGTCAGCTGCGCCACCGCAAGCAAAGAATTATTTCGTCTGGAAGCGAAATTGTTATAAAGTGGAGTTTTTTTTCGCTGTTCCGTTTTCCGTTCCGTGCTGGACGCGTTCATTTGTAACCTCAAACAGAAGCAGGGTGCTGAAAATGGGACGGGGTCTAAGTGTAGAAATGAAAGGAAAGTGAGGGCAGCGAGGAACGGGAAGGGTTTTTTGTTTTTTCTCATGGATTACACATATACCTTTGGTGAGCAAATGGGCAAAACGAACACAACGGATAAAACGGGCTGTATGAACAAAAAACCGGAAGAAAATGCTCCGGAAAGTGGCGAATTTACTTCAACACGACGTCTAGTAATGGGGCTTAATTAATTTTATTCAATGTTTTGCCCACATTCAAAACGTACCCTTTTTTAGAGCAATGTTTAATTATCTGAATCAACACTAAACTCGCCAAAAATAATTCAAGAAAACACATAGCTTTTATTAGAAATCTGTTTCCGCTTTCCGCTGCTCCAGTTAAAATTGAATTCGAATGCATTTTGAACAATGTAGACAATGTAAAGTGATATATGACGGTAAATCGATGATGCCAGTTGAACTTCCAAAGCGGATAACCGCGGCTAACATAAGACTAACATCCATATTCCTTGCAGTAGCAAGTAACAAGTAGCAAACAACTAACAAGTTGCTTTTGTCCAATTGTAACTCTACCTACTTACAAAGTTGACGCAATGCATCGATTTTCAATCGTCGCCTGAACGCATTCAACCTGCAGCACTACTCACTTGAATTACCTTATCGATTGTTTGTAGAATTGCGTGTGTAAGACGCAAAATCTATATTCAAATTGGGGACAACTTGAAGAGGCGAAGCGTACGAAAGCGGTGATGCAGTACGCGAAGCGCAGAAGGTAAAATAACAAATGTCGTTATGTGCGCCGCAGCGGGCAGGTTAGTTGCATTGTTGTCGAACGTATTTATGCTCATTTTCTTTTGTGCGGATTTCAATGAGACTCGCAGCGAATTGTTATGTTTACGCCGAGTTACTATGAGCACCGTCAGTGATTATTATGAACAACTCTATGACGAGGATGAAAACTTTTAATGATCATTTTTTTATACTCAGTAAAATTCCTAAAAACATGTCATAGTTTTATAAACAATACTAAACTTTCATTTACCAAACAGTAAATATTATATGAGTAAAATTTAAAAAGAGTTTATGCATGTAATATAAATCAAGGATATTATTCGTTCCTGACACGTGCAAATCCGGTGAAAATCGTGTGGGGCTGATTTTGTTCGTTTTATCGCTGGTTTACTGCATCGCTGCATCGTTGTTGCATCGTCGACGGCAAACATTTATTTCCAGGGGCACATCGGATTTCCCTGATTCACAGTGCGCTGGCTCTAATTAATTAGGACTATCTGCCAACTATCGATATGACGTTTGCGTCAATTTTCCTCTACGTTCAATTATTTTTAATTTGAACATCAAACACAACAGCGAAACGAATAATTTACACAAATATCGTCATCATTAAAGCGTTAAGCGTAAAGCGTTAAAGTTTTTTAATTATTGAATAATTCTTTTGTTATAGGATGCACGAGGACACACGAATCTCGGAGCAATTCTTCATCTTAATGGAAAATATCGCGAAGCAGCAGACAGTTACAGAGAAGCGCTGCGTTTGCAGCCAAACGACGTGACGACTTTGACGAATCTGCATCGCTTGCACACGGTCATGACTTGACGGTAAATCAAAATTTCCAACTTACGCGAAATTAATTAATTACCCTTCCTGGAAGTGTAACCTCACGTGTTAAATTCTATTCAGTTGCATCGAATCGAAACATTTCTACCAACGAATTATTTAAATTGGGCAAATCAGTTAAATAGTTTATTAAATTATGATGAAATTAATTAAATCAAATGTCGCCGATGATTTTGGGACCATTGTGCACATTCTATCGGCCAAAATTTCACGACTACCGATGACGGAATGATGTGGTTGATGCGTAAAACATATAATATTGTAAAATGTAAATACTTTACTTGTACATGTGTTGTAAGATATGAAAATTACGAGGCAATGAAGAAGACGTAAAGAGGGATATTGACAATATGTAAATGACGATCCATAGTGATATTTTTTCATCAAGTACACGAGACATAGTATGAAATATGTAGCAAGATTATCGAGGACCGAAGAGATGCACACACAACACTCAAATGAACAATAAAATTCAAGCGATGAACAACATAATTGTTTATTGGTTGAATACGATTGCTTTGTTTGATTTAATTAGATCAGCCAATTGTACAAACAAAAATATCTAGTGAATAGATGAACATGGAACTGAATGATCATTTTTTAAAGCAAATTGAACAAATTTTGTAAATACAAACAAATATGTTGTATAAAATATATACAGAATGAAATAATTCGATTACTTCGACTATGAATGATTTATATGAAGCGTAATGAAATTGATTATCGACGGATTAACAAATAAACAAATAAACTGTAAATGTTATTTCTTAATCAAATTGAAAGTGATATTAATGTAAATATTATTGCTACACAAGAAGAGATGTGCTGAATAATGATGAAATAATATCTAAAAAAAACGTCTAAGAGAATTTAAGTACTAAGTATTGATTGTAAAAAGCAAGAAAATGTAAAATATTGCCACCAACATCGTTTTGGTTGATTCAGATTTTTTTCAATCAGAAATTTCTCATAATTTCATTGCACAAATATTCAACAACAATAACAGGCGGTCGAAATCAATCAGTGAGATTGATTGATTCCGAATGTTTATCACAACCATACAAAATATATAATTAAAAGATAATAATTGATAAATATAACAAAATATACCGCAAAATTGCTTCTTACGTAAATGGTTTTGGATCATAAATAACACACAAACCGATACAATTTCAATGTTATGAAATACGATCATTTGAATTACCTACACTCATGACGACGATATTGACTGGATGATGAAAACTAAATAGGTACGATTGAATTATTATAAAATATTAATATTGTTGGCTTTTAATGGAAGAACGTATCCTGTAATATGTATTGATACATATATGAAATAAAGCTTAACTTATTTTGTGTACAAAAGCTGTGTTTTCTTTCTGTTTTTTACTTTATCTGCTTTATTTCTCTTCGATTTCATGTGGTGTCTTTATGTGTAACTTGTTGCACTTACACAGGCTTCATTTCAAAGACTGCGAAAGCCTTTGAATGCTTTCAGCGCGTTTCGGAACATTTCAGAACGTGAATTTGCTTGCGCGCTATTGATATGGGAATTGATTGTCGTAGGGTTCGGCGATTGCGAGCAACACGTTGCAGTTTATCCAAGAAATCCTCAAAAAATACATGTGGCTCCAAGCTTCAATCGGCTAATGTAAGTGGATAGTCGATGGACGATGACGACACTTGAGATAATATCAGCAATTTTGTTTAGTGTTATTGGCGTCGATTTTCTTCAACCGATAATATCATGGATTTTTCTATAACATGTATGAGTTGCTGCGGAATATATGCTTGTTTGAGCTGAAATGCTATAATTTTGTAATTATAGCAGTAAAAAGTAATTTTCGAAAAGTTTTGAAGTTTACCAGCAGAACTTGAAACTTGCACAACTTTAACTTTGCTCAGCTCGCTCATCATCTGCGGCCAATGTCGGCGTCGGTTGGGCACGCTATTCGTTAAAAAGTCCGCCGTATATATTAATTAATATCCGTGTAAGGAGATTAAAGCGCGTCTATTTTAATCTGAGGAAAAGTTTCGACGTCCGCCCGCGCACGTAGTGGACACGGCTGCGGCGGCAAAGTTGCTGCTCCGCTTCGAGATGCCTCGCCGCCGACCGCAGAATTACCTAACAAGTATTTTAGATAAGGGCCAGAAAGTTTGTTAATTACGCGATGCGTTGTACAATGTATCAAGTTACAAATTTGCACGAGCGCTGCTTTCCTGCATATAGCATTACTTCTTCAAAACGGCTCAAACAATGTTTCTGCAAAATTTTCTAAATAGAATCATTAGCAATGATGACTTGACTTGACCCATATTTATTATTTCGAAAGTGTAAATTCAAGAATAATATTTCCATGACTTGCAGTTGTAAGAGATAAGCCTACTTCATTAAATCGTTTTTAATGAGTCGTTTTGTAAATACACGCTTGAATACACAAATTTACAAAACAATTCTGTCAGCAATATTTATTGAATGAAGAATGTGATTATTTCATATCAGAATAATAGTTTTACAGCGTATTATTGAACCTTGGAAGTTTGTTTAACAATTGATTTAATATTATCATCATTTGGGTTTTACTTATTTATTACTTCTTGTATATTTTACCACAGTCGAGCGGTGACATCCAGAACAACTTCATCAAAATGTGGCTAAATCTTTTTGTGTTAGTTTTGTGCTTCAATGAACAAATGACAGTGAATAGTTTAAAAATTTTGGGAGTTTTAAACACACCTGCAAGAAGTCATTTCTACCCTTTCGACACCATAATCAAAGGTCTTGCGGACAAAGGGCATCAAGTTACTGTAATTAGTTTTTATGGACGTGAAACACCACACCCTAACATTGAAGATATTATTCTACGCAAAATTGGCGCAACATCCGATGGGGTACAGACAAGCTCTCAAGAAATGTTCCAATTTAACGAGTGTCCTAACATAAGTCATGACAAAGGTTTTAAATTGTTGCGTGAATTTGCAAATATTTCCTGCAATGATATGTTCTCTAAACCATTCCAAAACTTTCTTCATTCAAACAAATCTTATGATCTGCTTATTCTGGAAGCATTTAGTACTGACTGTTATCTTGGGTTGGTGGACAAATTCAAAGCGCCGTTGATACAATACAGTTCATCGACAATTTTGCCCATATTCCACGAGCGTTTTGGACAACCAGATAATTCAGCGTACATTTCTTCGATTCTTGCTGGATATTCGGGACGTATGCATTTTTGGAAACGCGTTCAAAATACTATGATTCATTGGTTGCATATATTAAGATATAAACGGGTGATTGTGCCGGAAAACTTTAAAATTGCAAAACAAGTGTACGGTGATCATTTAAGACCTTTTGGGCAAATCGCATCGGAGGCAAGTTTAATGTTGTTAAATACACATTTTACTCATATGGGTGCAAGGCCCAACGTGCCAGGAATCATCGAAATTGGAGGAATTCATATTGGAGCTGTTAAAAAACTGCCAAAGGTAAGTCTTTCCAAACTTTTATCGAAAATTACTAAATTTATGTATTGCGCATAAAAATTTCCATAAAGTCTAAAGATAAGAACTGAATACAAAAAATGTCGAAATGCATAAATCTATTTCTAATTTTACCATTTTAAATATATTTGCACAGTCTGCTATATGCACTTATAATATAAACAAGAAAAATGTTGATATCTAAAATAACTGCAATTTTAAGTGTGATTATTGTCTTCACGAGTTCTACAAACTCTTTAAAAATATTAGGAGTGCTTCACACATCAATAAAAAGTCACTATTACCCATTTAATCACCTAATGCAAGGACTCTTAAACCACTCCCATGAAGTCACAACAATTACCTTCCATAAAACATTATCTCCGCACGAGAATCTAACTGAAGTGATATTATCCAAAAGTGACTCGTTACACCACTCATCAGAATCAGAAATGTTCACCGTGGATATGTTCAATTCGTTTAATCGTTTCCACGGATTATCGTTGATCAATAAACTGGCAACACACTTTTGTGTCAATGATTTGAACTCTTCTACAATGCGAAGATTTCTAAATATTAATCAAACTTTTGATTTGTTGATAATCGAATCATTCTGCACCGATTGTTATCTGGGTTTGGTGGATAAATACAAAGTGCCATTTGTGTTGTTTAGTTCTGCTGGAATTTACCCAATGTTGTATGAACGGTTTGGTCAACCTGATAATCCAGCGTATATTCCATCTTTGATAAGTGGTAATCCATCAAAGATGAGTTTTTTTGAACGTTTGGAAAATACACTCGTGCATTATTATCATATTGTACAATATAAGTGGTTGTTTATGGATGAACATTATAAAGCAGCGAAGAAAGTGTTTGGTGATGAGTTGAGACCTTTTGATGAAATAGCAATGGAAGCTAGTTTGCTACTAATCAATACTCATTTTACACTTGCTGGTGGTAGGCCCTCTGTACCGAGTGTTATAGAAGTTGGTGGTATGCACATTGGAGAGCTGAAAATCTTATCTAAGGTAAGCAATGTTTCATAACTAATAAATTGCTTTGTCATTTAATCATTATCAATGATTATAAGCTCTTAGAATTGTTCTATTATTATCTATATCTCGATTAATAACTTGATATTGATAAGTGGCAACATGTAATGGTATATCACACTTTGATCACAGTTTGTACTCTACTCTCGCCATGTTCAAATCCTACCCAATAATATTAGTTATTTTAATAATATGGGGCACGTGCGCGAATGCCTTAAATATTCTTGGTGCTTTTACCCACCATGGAAAATCGCATTTTGACGTTTTCGAACCTATAATGTTAAAACTCGCGGAACGCGGACATAAAGTTACAATTCTCAGCCATTTTGACAATCCTTCAGAACCCAAAAACCTACAATACCTTAAATTTAGTACTAACTCCACACCAGCCATAGAAAGCATACCAGTTACCGATGCTGAAGATTATTTTGGACCTGGTCGTTTGATGACCCTCCTACACGAATCCTGTGGTGATGATTTCAAATCCGAAACTGTAATTGATCTGATCAAAAGTGAAGCACATTTTGGTTTGGTTATAGTAGAGGCATTCATATCAGATTGTTTCATTTCATTGGGTCATCGATTTGGTGCACCTGTAATTCAAATTTCTTCAAGTGTATTGATTCCTATGTTTAATGATCGACTGGGTCAACCTAATAATCCTAGTTATATCAATAATTTCCTGAATGTACCGAAATATAATATGAATTTCTGGCATCGGCTGCAAAATACGTTAATGACTGTCAGTGTACCACCAGTTTTTGAGTATTTAATGACTGCACCTCAAAAACAATACATCAAAGATGTTTTTGGATCAGATGCTCCATGTTATAATTCAATGGTGAATAACATTAGTTTGATGTTAATCAATACACACTTTACTTTGAACGGGGCTGTTCCTAACGTCCCACAAGTTATAGAAGTTGGAGGTATTCACATAGGAAAAATAAAGAAATTACCAAATGTAAGTAAAATTAATGTTTATTACTTTCTTTGGTGAATACGTAATCCATGTTGTATATTTATAAAAAATATTTATTTATTAAACATTATACGTGATTTTGGATTTACAATTTTATTTTTGAGTTGACATGTTTCGCCCAGAGGGTATCTTCATAAAAGTTTATGAAGTTTATGAAGATACCCTCTGGGCGAAACATGTCAACTCAAAAATAAAATTGTAAATCCAAAATCACGTATAATGTTTAATAAATAAATATTTTTTATAAATAAAATTAATGTATCATAATAGTTATTATTCAATCAGGTTATTGATAAACAGTTATGAAAAATTGCCTTGTAACGCTTTCTAAACTCGTTAGATAGGTCGGCATTTAAATGTGTTTGTGAATTAGTCTGGAATCAGTCACTATCGCAGTGCAATCAAAACGTAATCGCAGTTTCGTGTCAAAATGCAGCCTACGTTGACGTTCGGTGTGTTCCTCGTCTATTTCGGGTTATTATCATGCACATCAGCCACAAGTGCGTTAAAAATTCTCACTGTATACACACATCCGGGAAAAAGTCACTCTGACGTGTTTGATCCAATTCTAAGGGAATTGACAAGCCGCGGACATCAAATCACTACGTTGAGCCACTTTAACCATTCAACGCCCGAATATCACTTTGAAACACTACTCTTTGACACACCAATTAACCACTTAGATATCAATTTTGATAATAGTGCTGATTTCTTTGGCCCAGTGGTTATTTTTAAATTTGCTTATGCTTCATGTGTGAATGATTTGAAGTCAAAAGTGGTACATAAAGTCCTCCATGAAAAATCCCGTCATTTTGATTTGGTTATCGTTGAAGCATTTGTTGGAGACTGTTTTGTTCCAATGGGACACCACTTTGGTGCTCCGGTGATTCACGTATCATCAAGTCCATTGATCACATGGTTCTCACCTCGTTTCGGTCAAGTGATAAATCCAAGCCATGTTAATAACTTTTTGAATGCCCCGTTATTCGGTATGAATTTTTTGGAGAAAGTGAAGAATACCTTACAGACTGGCGGTATGATTTACGCGTATTACTATTTTATCGGCATGGCGCACCATTACACTTCAGCTAGGAGTGTGTATAAAAACTTACCAAGTTATGATGATACAATTCAAAATGTCAGTTTGGCGTTGGTTAACACTCATGGGTCTTTGCATGGCGCCGTTGCTAATGTCCCACAGATTATTGAAATTGGAGGTGTGCACATTGCACCGCAAACAGATCTACCAAAGGTAAATATTTGAATTTGATAATAAAATATATCTTATCTATATTATGATCAAATACTTGTATAAAGCTGTCAAAACTAATTCAGTTCTGCTCAGTACTTTGAATTCTAAACATGTGGCTAACGCGTGTTTTTGTTGTATTTTGTGCAATTATAACCATAGCTCATTGTTCTAATATTTTGGTGATACTTCCAACATTTGGACCTAGCCATTTTTATGCATTCGATGCGTTAGTTACCGGATTATCAAATCGCGGTCATAATATCACCTTTATGAGCCCACTTGTACCAAAATCAGTAAAAAGTAAAAATGTGAAGCACATACCCCTAACTGGAGATCATGTTGATGGTATAACATTTGATATTCTAAGTTCACATGGTGCCGGTGATACTGATAGTCATGCGCCTGGTTTTCTAAGTGCTTTTGCATTTCACAATATGGCGATGAAAACGTGCGGATCAGTTTTACCTACGGAATCAGTATTAAACACAATTAACAATACTGATAATAAATTTGATATCGTGATTGTGGAAGCCTTCGTTACGGATTGTTTTGCACCAATTGCGAAAGAATTCAATGCTTCTTTGGTCCTGTTTTCGACGTCAATGTTAATGCCGTGGTATTATGACAGCATTGGACAACCAGACAATCCCGCGTACATACCATCACTCATGTCCGGAGTACCAAGTAAAATGAAGTTTAAAGAACGCGTAGTTAATGTGATGGTTCATTTGTGGCAACAGTTCTTCAGATATGTGTTTATTGCGCGTTTTAATGACGTTGAAGTTAAGGATATTTATGGGAAACCAATAGATTCCGGAAAATTGATTCAAGATACCAGTTTGATGTTGACCAATACATATTTTCCACTGAATGGAGCATTCCCCAATGTTCCAGCTAAAGTAGACATTGGTGGAATTCATATTGGAAAATTAAAAGCAGTTCCAGAGGTATGTTTATAAATTTACTGATTGTTTTTGTTTTGGTTGTTATGCTAGGTAAAAAGTGAAAGATGTCATTGACTTTCAAAAATTCGTCCAGTACATATTTCGATTTCAGCGTGTCATACCATGCAATCATGCAAAATCTTCAATTTCGTTTCAAAATCAAAAAACCAACCATCTAAGTTCAAAACGCAACCAATTTTAAGATCATAATTCTAACCCGCTTAAATGAAGTAAAACCAAGATCATGACCATTGCTACAGCCCCGTATTGTGCAATATCGCCATACTGCAAGCGAAAATGCAATCCACCACAATGCAACGAAGCTATCAAAGATATTTGCATCGATAGTCCATACTATGATATGTGTTCACTATGTGGGCGCTTTAAACACTTCTTATCTTTGACTTGTCCAACTGGGGCTTTCAAGTCAAAACATCACATTGAACGATCAAGTGATTTGATTTTTAATTTTCGACATAAAAGGTTAAAACAATGCGTGACTGAAAAAGACCTCTGGCATCACAGATATGTGACCTATGCCAATACACATCCGGACACAAGAGAAGTCTACCATCCGTTGACAAGATGGCCGCATCAAGTGTTGGTCAACACTGTAATTGCAGCTGGTATGCTTACATTCTGCAAAACCTACCCAGGTTTGGCGCTCTGGCAGTGGGCGAACCAAAGCTATCAGGCATACATTGCCTGGAATCATAGAAATGTCCCGTCGTGCGTCTCAGACAGACAAGTGATAAACTCCTACATCATTGGAACGGCAGGATCAATTGGTACTGCAGTAGGTCTGAGATACGTCACTACAAAGTACTTCAAGTGCGTTCCATTCTTCGTTCCTAAATTGATTCCACTAGCCGCATTATTGGTGGGTAACATGTTGGCAGTACCAGCACTACGTGCCCAGGATTTAAAATATGGTGTACCCGTTTATGACCATTTGCATAAACGACTGGGTGCGTCACCTCTAGCAGCACAGAATGACGTGCATGAAAGGGTTATAGTGAAAAACGCAACATACTTCCTGCCTCTGTTAGTAACACCATTTGTAATGCACCCATTTCGGAGGGATACCTATTACTGGATCTGCAAGTATCCGTTCCTACGTAAACTACTATTGCTCTCAACGCTTGGTGGTTTATTTGCGTTTTCTACTCCGTTTGCGTTAGCTCTTTTCAAGTGTCCCGGAGAGATGTCCTATTGTGACCTTGAAAGATGTATACGAAATAGGGTTGAAACCCGTCTGAAATATCAGGTGTCCCCTATTGTTTACTATAAGAGTGAGTGCTAACAATACTAATTAACTACAACTGCTCAAGAATGAAGAATGAAGAAGATAATAAATTAAAAATACATTTTGCAACACATTAATAAAACAGAAAGCACAATTTTTGGAGTGTTCTATTTACTTACATCTAATACGTTTATCTGGGTTTATCCATGCTTATCTAATCTTAAAAATATAGTTTTATTAGATTCTTGATACACCAGGTATATAATTATTAGGTAGGGTATAATCACTTCACGTACCAAACACAAAGTTGCATCATTCAGTCGTGGTTCGACATCAGCGACGAACGTTTCTAATGTGTTTTCTGTGAGATGTATAGATGATGTGAATAGTGCTAGTGTGAATTTATAAATAACTTGCGTAATAAAAGCAAATATTAGCTGCTATTCGGTGATTCACCTTCACTGACTTGACTCCAGCTTAAAATAATTCAGTATAATTGTTGTGACCATGAGGTGCCTACCGGTTTTCGTTCTCTTGTGCATCGCCGCGTCGCATGTGGACCTATCAAGTGGTTTAAAAATTTTGGGCATTATGCCACTGCATGGCCGCAGTCACTACTATCCATTCGCCGCTCTCATGCAAGGTCTGGCCGAAAAGGGACATCAAGTGACCTTCATCACGCCCTTTTCACCTGCGGCACCAATAAAGAATTTGGACTATGTCACACTGGACAAAACGGGTCTACCTGCTGGAGAAATGTTATCTTTTGACGAAATCAGTAAAATATTCGGTGGGAATAGTGTTACTGACTTTTCCTTCAAAATGCTCGGTGTTTTCATCTTTAAAAACGCATCGAAAACCACATGTGATGATTTTCTCAGCTCCGATGTTGTACAGGCGTTCAAGAAGCGTAAGCAGCATTTCGACTTGGTGCTAACGGAAGCATTCCACACTGATTGCTGGTTTCCGTTCGCGGCCGAATATCAAGCGCCGCTTGTACATTTCACGGCCTCGTTGCCCATGCCGTGGTATAACGACAGATTCGGTCAGCCAAGCAATCCGGCTTATATTCCTAATATGCTCACTGGCTTCTCAATGAAGATGAGCTTCTATGAACGCTTGCAAAATATGATTATCGATCAATTTCACAAATTTTACTTCGACTACATACAAGAACCGACTAATGACGAATATGCCAGTAACTTCTTTGGTGCAAACAAACCAGATCGACATGATATCGCCAATAATGCTTCACTACTTCTGATCAATACACATTATTCATTATTGGGACCACGACCATTCGTACCGGGACTCGTTGAAGTTGGAGGTATTCATGTGACAAAAGGGCCGAAACCAGTACCGCAGGTAAGAAACATAAATCGAAGGTCAATGACATTTTAATAGCTTAAAACTTAAATAGACAAAACAATATTACATCATCAGTAAGATGTTATATAATTATATTTTTATCTACGAGTAGATATTTTGCTTCAGTGGTCCGACAAAGCAAACAATTCAAGTGATTTGAGTTTAAAGATGTTTGCTACTTGCTCTTATCGTATATAATGATGTGTGTATTAATATAAGGAACCAATGCCATGTCATGGCATTACAAGCAATTTGAGATGATTTAACTTTTATATGATTGGAACTGACGCACATGGTCAGTATTAATCAAATGGTCACTCCAAACGGACCTACGAATCAATTTGCGCGATTCTAGAATTTTTTACATCAGGATTCTAAAAGTGAAGTGATTTGTGTTTCCTGGTAATCATGAAACAGCTAACGTTATTACTCTTAATTAGCGTGATTTGCGCGACCGTGACCTCGCTGAAAATACTAATATTGATGCCAGTGAATAGCAATAGTCACTATTTTACATTCAAACCTCTTATAGAAAAACTAGCCGAACGTAATCATGAAGTCACTTTTATTTCACCATTCACGCCGAAAATCCCAATCAAAAATTTGGAATATGTTACTTTGACGCTGAACGCTAGCGAAGGACCAAAAGGAAAATTTGATGAAGTGGAGCAGTTTAAACCTTCATTTAGTTTTAAAGATGTTGATAATATGTTTGGTAAGCATGCATCGGGAGAATTTTATATTAAAACATTCACTGTTTTTGGATTTTTGAATTATTCGCGAATAACTTGTGATAGTTATCTAAATTCGCCAAAAATGCATCAGTTTATCGCCGAAGATAGAAGTTATGATTTAATCCTAGCAGAAGCGTTCCATACAAATTGTTTTTTGGGTTTTGTACAAAAATACAACGCCCCGTTAGCAGTTTTTACAACATCAGCACCTTTAGTTTGGTATCATTCACAATTTGGTCTACCGTATAACCCTTCATATATTCCAAATTTATATTCCGGCTTTGGTGTGAAAATGAATTTTCTTCAAAGAATTCAAAATTTGATTATCAACACCGTGCATTCGTATTATTTTGATAATATTCAAGAACCGGTTAATTATGAACTCGCAAAGAAGTTTTTCGGTGATGATTTGCAAGACTTTGAAACTACCGTGAGCAATGCAACGTTGTTTATGGTAAATTCTCATTTTACAATCATGGGAGCGAGACCACTTGTACCAAGTGTTTTGGAAATTGGTGGTGTGCACATTGGACCTACGAAACCGGTACCCAAGGTGAGATATTACATAATATTACTTAACTCAATTGAAGTGTTTACGAAAGTTATATTTATCAATTGCATCCTCACGTATTGATAAGCCTGAAGTATTTAATTAATTGATTTTATTTTTTAATTTTGGTTCAACGACTTTGTAACTCAGACAGGTTGATAAGATGTTTGATAAAAATTTAAATATTTTATTTTTGGGTTAAATTATTAATATTTAATCAAATGATTATGAAATTAATTACTTGTTTTTTTGGGTTAATATTAATAGTGTAGTTAATAATTTCAGTTTGACACGTGCATAAACTGTGCCTCTGTTCGTAAAAATGCGTTTCTTTGCGTTATTAATATTTCTCGCGCTGTGGACTACTTGTAATTCGTTTAGAATTCTAACTATAATGCCACTCTACGCCAGGAGTCATTATTACACTTTTAAAGCAATCGTTGAAGCTCTTGCAGAGCGTGGACATGAAGTGACATTCATCACACCATTTTCACCAAAAACAGAAATCAAAAACTTGGAATATATCCAACTGGACGCTGGAGAGTTTGGACTCTCAGAAATTTTCTCTTTTAAAGAGCTGGATTCAATGATTGGCAATAAAACCGACGATAATTTCTGGTCAAAAGTGATAAGAATTTTCAGATTAATGCGTCACTCTAATATTACCTGTGATTTTATGTTAAATTCACCGCAGATGTATCGATTCAAAGCAGAGAAACGTAATTATGATTTAATGATTGGTGAGGCTTTCCATACAGACTGTTTTGCACCATTTGCACATCATTTTAATGTGCCATTGGTTTTGATTACACCAACAGCACCATTTGCATGGTATCTACCAAAATTTGGGCAGTTTACGAATCCGGCGTATGTTCCTTCTGTGATGTCAGGTTTTGGATTGCAGATGACTTTTTTGGAAAGAATGCAAAATATGATAATTAATATCGCGCATGTGATATATTTTGACTACATTCAAGAACCCGTTAATTTTAAACTGGCACAAAAGTTTTTTGGTGATAATATTCCTAGTTTTGGAGATATAATGAGAAACGTTAGTGTGTTGTTAACAAATTCACATTTTTCGTACGTGGGTGCAAGACCTAATGTTCCTGGAATAATTGAAGTCGGTGGTTTGCATTTGGGTCATCCTCAACTTGTACCCAAGGTGAGTAAACGCCAAATCTAAAAATTCAGTGAGATAAAGTTATGTAATTCAATTTGATTATGATAAGTAAACACTCCATTGCTATTTCTAGAAAATAAATTTAATGCAACTACTACTTGTCGATTAGATTAGGTTGAAGTATGTTTGTCTGTCGGATACACAAGTATTGATAAAACACTTAGTATAACGCGTGTAGTCATCTATAAATGATGTTTTTACAACGCGTCTTTGTACTAACCTGTGTTTTAACAATTCTACAATGGAATACTTGCACTTCCTTGCGTATCTTAACAATAATGCCAACTTATGGCAGAAGTCACTACTTTGCATTCAAAGGAGTAATTGAAAACTTAGCTCAACGAGGTCATCAGGTCACATTTATCTCTCCATTTGAAGCACCGTCACCAATCAAAAACTTAGAATATGTCACCTTGGATTTGGGTGACACTGTTGAACGTGGTGAGCAGATGAGCTTTCAAGAAATGGATGCTTTACTAGGAGGCAAAGGCACGGACACCTTCTCGTTTAAAACTATGAGTATTTTCGCATTCAAACGCTTCTCGAATGTCACATGCAGTTTCTATTTGAATTCCCCTGTGATGCATGATTTCAAAGCCCAGAAAAGAAGTTATGATCTGGTTATTGCTGAAGCATTTACTACGGATTGCTTTTTCCCATTTGCGTGGGTTTATGATACTCCATTGGTTCTGTTTAGTGCTTCCGCACCTATATCTTGGTATCAATACAGGTTTGCTCAACCTGCAAACCCTTCATATGTACCAAATTGTAAATCAGGTTACGCAGCTCCAATGACTTTCTGGGAAAGTATGCAAAACACTATTTTCGAGGCGTTTCATGTGTATTACTTTAATTACATCCAAGAACAACTTCGCCGTCGCTGCATCACACACCGACGCCGGTCCCAAGCCCGGACAAAGAAGGAGGGTTGTAGGGTGAGGCCAGCGACCTACCCTACGTAAAAAACATCAGTGCTCATAGAACCAGACAAGGGCCTCGGTTACGGACAGATCAACGACGACAACCCAAGCAAAGTACACGGACAAAGAGAAGATTACAAAAACATAACCTTAAAATCGCCACATGGAACATAAAATCGCTCAACAGAAGAGACCAAGAAATGGAGCAAGAATTAAGAAACCACCACATTGATATCTGCGCACTTCAAGAAACTAAGAAAAAGGGAAAAGGTCAGGCAGTAGTTGGAGATTATCTACTAGCATACAGCGGTGTAGAGAGGAACGAGCGAGCAAAAAAAGGAGTCGCAATCATGTTTCACAAAAAGTTAGTAGATCACATTATAGACATCACGTACGTTTCAGCCAGAATAATACACGCAAAACTGCTGCTAGACAGGAAACGCACCAACATTATAAGTATTTACGCTCCAGAAAACTGCAGACCCCAAGACGTAAGAGAAGAATTCTTTAACTCACTGCAACATGTTTTAGACAGCCATAAGAACGAAGCGACTATCATCCTAGGAGACTTTAACTCATATATACCCGGAGTTATGGAACGCTGATGACTAACCTATGAATTATCAAAGAAGTTCTTTGGGGAAGAAACACCAGAATTGTGGAAGATCGCAGGGAATGCAAGTATTCTATTGACGAATTCACATTTTTCTGTCTTGGGACCAAGGGCAAGTGTGCCGGGAATGGTTGAAATCGGAGGAATTCATTTAACGGAAAACAAAGCCTTACCAAAAGTGAGTCAGCAGTTTAAACCTCAATTTGTTTATATTACGTAATCTCTTAACTATTTATAATGGTACCATATCGTAGTGTGTGTTATCACGTACATTATGTTATATTAAAGTCAATTAATCGCGTTTAGTTTTGACTTGAGTTACCAGCGTGCGCAGTCATTTTGTTTAACATGCGGTTTTCAGTTTTAATAACGCTCCTCGCGCTAAAATATCCATTAACTAGTAAAAGTCACTATTTTATGCAATTGTGCAAAAACTTGCTGAACGCGGACATGAAGTTACTTTCATCACACCGTTTGCATCAACAAATCAAATCAAAAACTTTACACTGAAGATCTCCGACTATCATTTTGCGGAACAGTTTAGTTAAAGAACTGGGAGTATTGCTGGGTAACCAAACAATGCAGGATTTTACTGCACGTCTGATGAGCGTGTTTGTTTTCACATATTATGCACATTTTACTTGTGATTATATTCTAAATTTACCATACAGATGCATACATTCAAAAACGAAAAACGCAGTTACAATCTGAGAATGCTTCCATACCGATTGCATTGCTCCGTTTACAATACATTTTAATGTACCATTATTATATACCATACCATACCATGGTATAATTATATTTTTGCACAATCTGCAAACCCAGCTTATGTTCCGAATGTAATGTTAGGATATTCGAATAAAATGGACTGGCAAAGATTACAAAATACTATTTTTGATGTGGCACATGTTCTGTATTATGAATATATCCACGAACCGCAATCTTTTGCAATGTCACAGAAATTTTTCGGAAATAATATTCCAAAGCTCGGAGATATTACTAGGAATGTTAGTTTATTATTAGTAAACACACCTTTTTCGTATATGTGGGTGCAAAAGCTTCAATTCCTGGAATTGTAGAAGTTGGCGGAATACATTTAGGAGAAGTTCAACCTTTACCACTGGTGAGTTGACATAATAACATCTATAACCATTAGTATATAAACTGATAATATTCGAGAGAGGGAGGAGTTAAGTATTAGATACCACTCATAATTTTTAATTCTGTTGGAGATGGTAGGATATTTCAGACGTCAGTTAATTCAGTTGTACATGTGCGTTCGCCGCGATCCAGTCCATCAACATGCGTGCTCTAATACTAATCTCGTTACTTGCGCTATGGACCAGTTGCCATGCACTTAAAATTCTAGTAATTATGCCATTGCACGGTCGAAGCCATTATTTTCCGTTCAAAGCGATATCAGAAAACCTCGCCGCGCGTGGCCATGAAGTTACATTCATCACACCATTTCCTCCAAAGACACCGATTAAAAACTTGGAATATATAGTACTGGAAACCACTGAAGTTGGTAGTACGGAACTATTAAGTTTCACCGATGTTGATGCTATTTCAATGCGATCTTTTTCGACGAAAGTGATGAGTGTCATGGGTTTTATGTATTTTTCAAACGTCACTTGTGATTACATGCTCCATTCGCCAAAAATGTATCAATTCAAAGCGGAGAAACGCAGTTATGATCTAGTGATTGGTGAAGCATTCCATACGGATTGTTTTGCTCCATTTGCACATCACTTTAATGTGCCACTGGTTTTGGTGACTGCATCAGCACCTATTGCATGGTACCGACCCAAAATAGGACAACCAACGAATCCTTCGTATATTCCAACGATTATGTCCGGTTTTCCACCAAAAATGAACTTTTGGGAAAGAATGCAAAACGCTATCATTGATTCCGTGCACATATTTTATTTCGACTATATTCAAGAACCAGAAAATTTTAAATTGGCGCAAAAGTTTTTCGGGGAAGACATTCCAAGTTTCGGGGATATTATCAGCAACGTTAGTGTATTATTAACAAATTCACATTTTTCGTACGTGGGTGCTAGGCCCAATGTTCCTGGAGTTATCGAAGTCGGTGGTATACATTTAGGAGAACCGAAGCCTGTACCAAAGGTGAGTCCAAATATGATTTTTGTCGAATCATTGAATTCGTCATTGCCACTTAAGTGTTATTATCTATTAAAGATGGTTATATAACACTTTTTATTCGAGACAAACAAGTTATTAATAATTTCATAATTCTATAGATCAACGTGGTTAAAAAACTGTTTATTTACGCATCAAAATATGTACAATGGTAGTAGTATGTAATAACTAGTCTCAACAAATGAATAGTTAATTGACGGACAAATCGTCAAGGTTGTTCAACGCGAGTTGTCATTTAAACGAGCTAAATATTAATGCAAGCGTGAACGTCGGTCGCCACCGCCGACGCCTTTTGTGCTCATACGCGACGAATAAATTCGTTCCAAAGACCGCATTGTTTATGCATGAGATGGAAAATTGTTTAGTGAGGAGCGAAAAGCCACTCTGGCAGCACATGAACTTATTCAACTTATTAATTGCCATGTCATCAATTGATAAAAGTTAAAATCTTCTCGTGTTCTCTTTTCATGCCCATTAAACACTTCACTCAAGTGAATTATAGATAAAATTATCATGTTTATGTAGCTATCTCACATCCTTGTTTAGAATTAAAGTTTAAATTTCGTATAAATAATATTATGTTAGTGATAACACAATCAGAAGTCATCTGATTACAGTAGCTTATAATTTACAAGCTGATATTGCACATAATTGAGCGAAAGTAAAAGCGTAGTTTCAAATTTCTGCAAACAATGCATTCAACACTACATTCCACTCACGTAACATTATTGTAATGATCACGGTACATTGCAACCCACAAGGTCAACATCAATAAGCATAAACTTCTATTTGCCGGCCGGTGTCGTTAGTTGTTAACGCACTGCATGTTTAGAATAATTCCACATCGTGGAACACAGCTAGATGTGTTATGCTTGAGGTCATTTGATTTTTACGATTTTCTGATTCCTTCTGTTGCACTAGCAGTCTACTTCAACCGGTTCTAAGCGCATTGCATACAGTAGTTCTGTCTAAGCTTTCCTAGTGTTAAGTCAACATATTTCTTAGTTAATCACTGCGCTTTAAAAGCTTAAAAATTAATTTATGGTTTAGTTATCACGGAATAAAGTATAAAGTACGATATTGTGGATGCAAATAATTACTGTACCAAATCGGACTGCTTTATCTCGCGTCTGGCCTCTGTTCACCACAATTAAACAGTCAGGTTTGCATTCAGTCTGATCGCGCCTCGCAGCGTGAATAGTGACTATGTAATCATTTTCCACTTCGGTTTTAATTAGTAACGAGTGATTGTGCAGTTTTCACCATTAACGGATTTTAAAATGTGGAAGTTTTCGTGTGTTACCATTTTGACTATTTTTGGACTTGCTGTGATACAAGTTGACAGTGCGAGTATACTGGCTGTTTTCCCATATGCAGGCAAATCTCATTTCCATGTCTTTCAACCTATCCTACAAGAATTAGCAAAACGTGGTCATGAAGTCACAGTTATTACCCACTATCCCCAAAAAACGCCCTTGAAAGGTTACACTGACATATCAGTTGCTGCTAAGGAGAGTTTCTCCGAAAATGTAGTCGACCTTGAAGGGGTTCTCACGGCGGGTACCTGGTCCATGATCCAAGCTGTTGCTAGTCTTGGAAAAGAGACCTGTGACAATCTAAACCATCCTAATTTTGACAAATTTCTAAAAACTAAAGGACTCAAGAAGAAATATGATCTGATGCTCATAGAATTCTTTGTAACAGATTGTTTCCTAGCATTGGCCCACCACCTAGACATACCTTTCATTGGGATAACTTCTCATATTCTTATGCCATGGTCTAATACTCGTATTGCAAGCATTGACAATCCTTCGTTTGTGCCTAACCATTTCATCGGATATTCCGATAAAATGACATACCGAGAAAGAATAGTCAATACTATTCTGTATTTTGGTAGTAAACTTGTGGAGCATTATATTGTGGATGAACCTGGTAATGAAGCAGCCAAAGCTAAATTTGGGCAAGACCTGCCACACTTGGATGATATTGCTAAGAATGTCAGCTTGATGTTGACATATACGCATTTTTCTATCACAAGACCACGTCCTTTGGTACCCAGTATGATTGAGATCGGAGGATTGCACTTGCATAACACCCAGTTGAAACCATTACCAAAGGTAATAACTGTAGTTATTTTTTATTGTTACAAGTTGATTTTATGAGGAGATATAAAGGAAAGTGAAAACTCATGTTAATTGCATCGTTCTTGACATATATCTGGTGTTTATGACTTTGTTTACCACGAGTTATTTTTTCAGAGACAATCAATTTATTGATCCGGAGTATTAGTACAATTAATTTTGTTTTCGGAGACAATATTTTCAAAATAAATACATTTTGACAAAGGTTAAAGTCTAATAGTTCATAAGTTGGGTATTAAGTTAAATGATTTATGCACGGACTATATTTACCATTGAAACATGGCCACTATTACTTGTGTTAAAATGTCAATCTAGTTGTCGCTATGCCAAATGTTATCGCAATTACTACATCATTATGCTCATGTAACTAATGCTCTCGTTCACTTTCGTTGTGTGTGGTACGTATGTATATTAAGATTACAACGAATGTTTATATTTACTGACCAATGTACTGATGTCAAACGCTCAGCCAGAATAATCATGACTGTTTCAAATCGGTGCACACCGTTGGTCTGTAGTTTGCAAGTTATTTATAAACCACGAAATCATAATCAGCTTATTCAACATTATGTTTTGAGTTAGTCGTAATTTAGTTTCGATTGCAAAGCTACTGTTATTCGTGGATTTCCTAGTCAAAGTGGAAATTAATTTTATCTGTGCTGTGGGTTGCCTAGTGATAGACTTAAGTTAAGTAATTATAGTTTCGCGATGAATACTATACAGTTAATGATCTTGACATTCCTCGTGTTGATGACTAGTGCCAGGGTCAGCTCACTACGTATTCTCGGAATATTCACACATTTCGGAAAGTCTCACTTCGATGTCTTCCAACCAATCATGCAGGAACTTTCCGAAAGAGGTCATGATGTTACCGTCCTCAGTTATCACCCGCAACCCGCCGCAGGATACAAGGATCTCGTTTTAGAAAGCGACATTTATACGGGCAATAGCCTTTTGGCCTTTGACATGTTAATGCCCGGTTATCCAGGGCAGTTCCTCGAGGTTTTCTTAGTGCATGAACTTGCTCGGGAAGGATGTGAATTTGGTTTGAAATCACAACCAGTAAGGGAGCTGCTTAAGTCAAAGAAAAAGTTTGATCTTATCATTATAGAAGCATTCAACACTGATTGCTATCTTGGGTTGGTGCATCGTTTAAAGGCCCCGTTTATACACATATCTTCTTCGACTAGTTTACCATGGTTTACGAGCCGATTTGGGCAACCAGACAATCCTGCTTATATCAGTAATCTGTTTATGGGGTTCAGTGATAAGTTGGGTTTTGGGGCGAGGGTGATAAACACAATGGACCATATATGGACCAATTTGTTATATCAGTATTATATTACACCGAGGGATTATGAATTCGCGAAAGCTGCTTTCGGAAATGATCTGCCTAGGTTGGAAGATATTGCGATGAATGTCAGTTTGTACATCATAAACGAACATTTTACTATACAAAGGAGTAAACCTACAGTCCCAGCGGTGATAAATGTTGGAGGTGTTCATCTTGCGAAAAAAGTGATTAAAAAGTTGCCTAAGGTAATAAATATCATCAAAATCAAGTTTTGCAATTAATGAGTTCATTATTTGCAGTATTTTACTTTCACATGTTTTATCTGTGTTTTTTTTTTTATGAAATATTTTCCATTCATTAATAATTATGAAAGTCCTAGGCATTTCAACATTCTTGAACCATTTTATTTTCGTTCACGTATTATGAAATATTTACAACGACATAAAATTAAATTTTTTAAAGTATTCATGTGATATACCTACATTGCAGGCGTGTAGAAAATTTGTGCTGCTTTATTTGTCTATTCGAGTTTGACATGTGTTAACTTAGCTTCTTCATTATGAAATTTTTCTTGCAAGTGGGAATTTGTTTATCAATTCTCACGTTATTGTCGTGTAAAGTGCGCGGTTACAAAATTCTCGGCATTTTTCCTTTTGAAGGAAAAAGTCACTACATAATTTTTGAAGATTTGATGAAACAACTTGCATATCGGGGTCATAACATCACAGTGCTCAGTCATTTTCCTCAAATTACTCCGATCAAGAACTTCAAAGATGTTTCATTGGTACCCAATACAGATATTAAAATACGGTTTGATTTTGATGGTTTTATGAAACTGACAAAACCAGAAAAAGTGCTGTTGATTGCAAAAAATGGTTTACGTTCCTGTGCACATTTGAATTCCAGTGCAATACAGAATTTTCTCAAAACAAACGAAGAATTTGATTTGATACTAATTGAACAATTCAACAGTGATTGTTTTCTGGGATTTTCATGGTATTTTAATGCACCACATATAGGAATAACTACACATGTATTAATGCCATGGGCGAATCATTTCTTTGGTAGTCCTGATAATCCAGCATATATTCCGAATCATTTTATGCACTTTTCTGACCGCATGACTTTTTCCGAAAGGGTGATGAATACCCTTGCTTATATTTTCACCCAAGATGTTGGCAGGCGTTATGTGGACGTGGCAAGTTACGAAATTGCGAAGAAGGCCTTTGGGGAGAATCTCCCAGAATTATCTGATATTGGAAGGAACATGAGCCTGATGCTGGCCAATACGCATTTTTCGCTGACGCGACCGCGTCCGCTCGTGCCTGGGATCGTCGAAATCGCCGGAATTCACTTGCACAGTATGCGAGCGCGTCCACCGCCCGAGGTAAAATTAATTAATTAATTTAACGTCGGCATTATTTAATGTATTGCATGCCGGCGGCATTCATCCCAGCGGCGGGGAGCATCATGGTACTAATTAATGGCGAAGCGAATAGGTGCACGATCCCGATCACCGGATCGATAATTTCTATTATACGTTGACTATTAACGCATTAATTAGTTTCCATTAAACATTAAACATTGTTCTTCGCTCAAATGCACGCGAACAAACTGATCAGCGCCAATTAACATTGAATTGGGAATTTTTACAGCGTGGATCAATAAACTTTTATATCGTAACTGAATTTTCCGAACAGTTTAATTTTTACACCTCGCATAAATCAAAAAACATATTGCGACATTCATTATTTCTCGTTTTGCGAAATATTTGCGCAATAGTCGTCAAGACCACACAGAAATCGAACAATTAATATCGTTGTTCAATGTTGGAATCCGTGTCACGCGCTCGTCTAGATTAAAATAATTATTAATAAAACTGATAAAACAACTGTGCATGTTTGCACTGCAGAATCAAACAACTAAAAGTTGCAGTGAGTCAACAATTACATTTCAAGATGCGTGTGAGTTTAGTGCTTTTCGTGTATGTTTTTCATTTGGTAAAATCCTACAACATTCTGGGCATTCTCCCACACGAGAGCAAATCACATAGTGCACTCATGAGTTCGCTAATGAACGAACTCATCGATCGGGGCCACAGTGTCACGTTAATTAGCTACTCCGCTCAGTCGGAAGTCCGCAGCAACTTCCGGGAAATCATTCTGCACTCACGACGAGCAAAAGACAATCACAAAATGAACGTCACGCTGTCAAAGTATACGAATCTGGAAACACTGGTGGAATACAATATGATCCGTGAAGTTAACCTCGTGCATGACCTAGCGAAAGATACCTGTGAGGATGGCATTTTCCAACCGGAAATACACCAATTGATTCGAAACCACTGGAGCGGACAGGATCGATTTGATTTGGTTCTGATCCAAGCGTTCAATAATGATTGTTTTTTGGGTTTGGTCCATCGATTAAAAGTACCTTTTCTACAACTCAGCACTACAACCATGTTCACGTGGTTTCATAGTAGGTTTGGAGTGACTTTTAATCCGGCATTCAATCCTAATATTTGGATGGGTACTACTGGAAGAATGAACTTTTTTGAGAGAATGGTTAATATGTTGGTGGATGTCTATGCGCGGATGATGTACTTCTATGTGCTTCAACCCAGAGATTATGAGTTGGTTAAAAGGGCATTTGGAGATGATCTACCTCCATTAGAGAAAATAGCACATGGTGCTAGTGTTATTTTGGAACATACACATTTTTCTTTAATGCCCCCAAGGGCTTTGAATCCGGGGCATATACAAATCTGTGGTTTTCACATACCAAAAATAGTTAAACCGCTCAACGAGGTATTTATATCACATACAAATTAGGTCAATTATTTCTATTTATGTCATTGGATACATTTCACGTCTAGTGTAACAAGATAACTGATATCAGATCTTTAATTACATATGGATATCTTGTTTTATTCTTAGTACGGTTTGCAATTTATGTTCAGTCCAAAACAACAAGTTATTCAATTAAGATATAAGTTCTTCATAATGCACACTAAATTTCGTGCATTTTTAATTTTAATTTTGAGTGTTAACCTAATAACGGGCTATAAAATTCTCGCAATATTTCCAAATCAAATAAACAGTCATTTCTCTACATTTGATTCACTATTGACGCGCTTACACCAACATGGACATGAAATAACACTAATCAGTCATTTTGTGCCTAGTGCTAATGGACCTAACCTAACTCATATCAATCTCATCGGTTCTGTGAAACTTCTTCGTGAGATTGTGCCATTAAATAGGACTAGTACAAAGTTCTATTCGCGTTTGGATAAATATTTAGCCACGTCTTTAATCTCGGGCTTTGCTGATGAAGCGTGCCATCACGGACTAGCTTCCGAAAGCTTTCAAAAGTTTTTAAACCGTGTTAAATCACAACCCAAAGATAATTATGATTTGGTGTTGGCTGAGTTCTTTAATACCGATTGTTTTCTGGGTCTTATGAAATGGCTACATGCGCCGTTAATTGCTTTGAGTTCGTGTTACGCTCTGCCATGGACCAACGCACATTTGGGCAATCCAGACAATCCGGCTTACGCCCCGGTCGTCTTCCTGGATCACGGCACGCGGATGGGCTTCCTGCAAAGGGTCGAAAACACCCTCGTGCAGGTGGCCTCCCGCTGGCTTTATCAATTCATGAGTGTGCGGTCAGCCAACGTGTACGCGAGGCGATTTATTGACGACGGAATTGATGATGTTGAAGCTTGGGCGAGGAATGCGAGTATTTTGTTGGTGAATACGCATTTTACGATAAACGGGGCGTTACCAAAAGTTCCGGGCGTAATTGAAGTTGGCGGTATACACATAGGCAATGTTAAAATGTTACCAGTGGTAAGCATTATTTTGTTGTTCAATGCTAGAAGCATGTCTTGTTACAAATTTCATGCAGGAAAATAATCCATATTAATGTTTAATTGTAAAGTCCGGACATGATCCGATGCAAAACGCGATTCTTTCACGCCACGCTGGCAGGTTTCGTTCAAATTTACATAATAATAGGCATCAAAATGCGCGGAATTTTCCGCAATACACTCGCGACAGCAGTGGCTCTGCCTCCGGTGGAGCCGCCGGCGGAGGTCGTAATCAAATTAAAAATTATATTTCCGTACCGACTTCGGGAGTGACACATAAAAGAATATCGCGTCTATGGGCCGCCCCGCTAGCAACGCTCGAACACGTATGTATCCCGTCGACGTTACGCTCGCCGCCCCTCGCAACCGCCGCCGCCGACAAACGCGCAACAGCTGTCAGAGCGAGGAGGGCGCTGTCACTCGCGCGTGTGCGCGTCATCTGCGGACCTTAACTTAATTTCGCAGCGCGCCGCGAAATATTCAACACATGATACGACGCGTGGCGCGAACGAAATTTATGGAAATTCGGCTCTTTTCCGACCGCCAACGCAGCCGCGAATCCGATTTGTTTCGCGTGTCATCTTTAACACAGCGCGACACATACGATTATACGTCATTCCATTATGCAAATGCACAAGATGGCGAATTTTCACGATTTTTAGAAATAAAACCAAAAATAACATCCGTGAAATGTATAAATGTCAAATGTTTGATTAATTAAATGCGAAACAAGGAAAATGTCAATAAATATGAATTATTTTCAATATTTCCATGATATCGACATCGTAAAAGTCGCATCGCCCACCATTTTACGTTGATATGCTCTGAGAGCAAAAACACGATTGGAAATCACTGATTTTTTTCTCTTGCTTCGTCTCGCTGACTCTCATTTCCATCGTAAACGATGGCGAAGCGAAGCATTCGTTTGATTTAAACGCACTTTCAATGCCTTCATCGCGGCGCGCGCACAAGCATATTAGACGCCGCCACTCGATGAATAATAATTTTTATGCATGGAATTTTTATGCCAAAATTAAATTTGCTCTTGATGTGTGTTTCATGGCGCTCATCGGCATCGACCGTGTTATCATATGTAAATAATCATAACTCCGGAAAAATATTGAAGCATTGAACAAACAACGTTTGCTATATCAATGTCCGCATAAACAGAACGAACAAATTGTTCTTTTCAAGGACATGGAAGTGTATACCACATCTGCATATCTATTGGCAACTCAGCAAGAGAAAAAAAGGACAATAGAAGAATAAACAATAAGCTTGGCCGACATCTGTTTGCGTTTAATATTTGCATTGATGCTATTGTTTGCCATCATATAATATATTTGTTTTATCTTCGGATAATATTATTTATCCTATCTTTTTATTTACGTCTTGGACGGACTACTTTTGTAGGCCGTGGTTTGTAGGCCTTTGAAGGTTTTATTGTGTTTGCGTATTTGTTTTGTGCCATTTTCTGATCGCGTTTGCTTTTGCTTTTGCAGAACATCGAGAAATGGATAAACGAATCCAAGGACGGCGTCATCTACTTCAGCATGGGATCCATGATCAAAGGACACACCTTCCCCGAGGAGAAACGCAAGATTTTCCTCAAAGCTTTCGGTCGTCTCAAGCAGCGCGTGTTGTGGAAATGGGAAAACGAGACTATGCCGGACAAACCCGATAACGTCATGATTCAGAAATGGATGCCGCAGTATGACATTCTTTGTAAGTTCGAAAAAATGCAATTTTTGAGATAAATTTCGGATACATTTGTGGTCGACATTGGAATGTAGATCAATACGAAGTGGATGCGTGCCCGATGTATGTAAATTTAATGACGTCTTGCGAAGCTTATTAAATTCCGCCGGATGTGCGGATGTAAATAAGACGCGCGCTTCGGATTGTTTTGCGTCACTCGAACCAACCCTCGATATATGAGATGTGTTAGCGCATCTTCGCGCAAGACGCGCATAAAACGCGACACACGACAGCAAACTTTCCGTACGCATACGTTGTGTTATAAAGATTTTATTATTTAAATATAACCATTACGCCGTAATGTGCCATAATACTCCCGGGTATGCTACATATGCTTATAAGTAAAATTTTCTCCAGGGCCGGACTAGTTTTTAAAATTCAAACAAATTTAACTGATTTTAATATTTTGAAGAAAATTCTTTCATGGGTATTTAAAGTGATTTGTTTTGAATTATAATTTGATGGGGAAAAATCTTAAGTTTGTCCCTGTTGGTTTGTGTTATGTTGCCTGCTTACTCAGGAGTTGTTCGAAACGCAAAACGACCGCCCTCCCGAAACTTATATGCGTTATATATGTGTACGTAAACGTAAGACCGTTTAATGTTCCCGACGCGGTTTTCCGCCTCGTGTTGTTCCTCGTTGCTGGGTAGATATTATAAATTATATTACGCGGTGCGCTATTATTTTCCGACATTAATTCAGGAACTTTTATTATGCGCGCGCGTCGCTCGTCCTGATTTATTTTATTAGCGTTCATATTTCGCAAAATACTGATGCAGGTATTAATCAACTTTAGGCCTGCGGTTTGGTTGCCGTTGTCGAAAGCGCGTTTGAGTGAACATTGCCGAAAATATATTCATACATATTACACAAGTGGCATTTATGGAGCAAATGAATTTAATTGCCATCACATTGGAATGTTTTGTTTTGCGTACTGGGTAATCACGTTTTAATGTAAACGCGCTGGCGTGGAAATCACTTGAGGCTGAATGGATGAAATTGTTTTAATTGTAAATCTTCTATTCGTAACAACGTTATTATTTATTTGCAATTAAAGTTAAATATTATTCGTGACGATATCTTTAATTTACTGTACATTAGACAACTAAAATAGTCATGATGGTCTAGTACCCCTGAAAACTTTAGCAACCCCGATCCGAGTGGAACTCTCGACTTCAACTTTGACGATCAAAAGCGTTAAACTAAAATTTGCGTGTCCGCGCCGCGATTTTGTGTGAATGCGACGGCGGCCGTAATTCTGGTTTGTTCCTGACGCGCATTGTTCTTGCGCTCTGCGCGACCATTCGCGCTCGGTCGCCTTTTGTTGGCCCCCGCGCGTTATCTTTTCGCCGAATCGCCACCCGACGAACAATGTCGCGCGACAATGTATCGCACAATATCGCCGCACAATGGGGCGCACACGGAGTGCAAATAGAAATTTAGTTTTAGTTGTTGCTAAGTTTTCGTCGCGCGATGCATGCGCCCGAAGGGGAGCCACGCTTCTTGATGGTCGCGCGTGAATGCATGAATGGGTTGATGTTTGTTTTGTGCTCTCGAATCCAAGCGCACTGAGCTTGAGGATTCAGAGGGATATTGTGGAACAGAACGCTTGACGCCCGACGCTTTTCTTGTAATGCCACCGCCACCACACTCATACTGCATTATTCCAGAAACAAGTGAATTTTAAACGATAATTTTGGTATTTTTCAGGTCATCCTAATGTGAAGGCTTTTATTGCTCATGGAGGACTTTTAGGAACCACTGAAGCGGTGCACTGTGGTGTACCGGTGGTGGTAATGCCACAATTCGGCGATCAACACACGAATGCCCGCGCACTTGAAGCTGGCGGCGGTGGTGTAGTCCTCAACTTTAGGGAAGCCGACGAGGAGATGGTTTACAACGCGCTCAAGACTGTCCTGGATCCGGAGTAAGTATTCTACACTATTATCTCACTTTGTGCAAACATTATACCCGCACATCTCCATTTTAACACGAATCTTTGATATATTTATTTATTTTTTTGTGCCTTTAGATTCAACAAAAAAGCTAAAGAACTCTCAGCTCGTTTCCGTGATCGTCCAATGTCGCCAATGGACACCGCCATTTATTGGATTGAGTACGTGGCCCGCCACAAGGGTGCGCATCATATGCGCACTGCTGCCGTCGGCATGCCCCTTTACCAATACCTGCTGCTCGATGTCTTCGGCTTTCTCGCCGTGTGCACATTATCTATTCTGTTTATTGGCATCTATGTGACCAAGCTTTTCTTCCGCTTGGTCATGTCCATGTTCTCTAAGAGTGATAAGAAGCAGAAGAAACTGAAGAAAAACTAATCACTTTACATCAAATAGTCACAATAATTAGATACATGTCTAAGAAACAAAAAAAAGACGTCAATAATAATCATACCAAAAGTGTTATTAGCTTGGAACTTAATTTTTTACATATTTGGAGTTTTAATAGTAAAATTTAAAGTATAATGTAATTAAAATGAGATTTATCTAACGTTAATAAAGTGGGGTTTTACATTATTAATAAAATGTTGTAAACTTTTATTTGTTTTACTAAATATCAAGCAATTGCGCATTGTTCTTATTATAAATTGCTGCAATTATCAGCGGGCACGTCTCGCAAAGTTCGTATTAACGCGTTCATTTAAAATTCAACATTAAAAGGAAATTAATTACTAATTGCGAGCGGGCATCCGCTTCGCAGGCGCGTATTGTAGTTGTGTTTTGTTTGCAATGTTTTTTGCAGGACAGCGCCTGCACAAAGATGCACAAAGATAGATTAATAATGAACGCGGCGCTGCGACTGCAAAATGCTCGTGAAATATTTGTTTGATGATAACGAGCTCACGCATTTTTTTCATAATCGCACGAGCTGTGCCGGCGGGCGCATAACTCAAAGTATTACAAACGCATGGCAGGATACATGTACTCGGAATTGCTGGACTTACAGAAAAAAAAACACACTGTAACGCTTCTTTGTAGTTGGCAGCACAATAATCATGACATGTTGCATGCACAATTAATTTTTACGACGTGTGCAGTACAAAAATAATAATAAACGTAACTAAAATTGTTGTGAGTTAGCTTTTTTTCAACCACGTCTATAATTAAAATGCAGACAACGGATACTTTTGCATTTATTTTTATATGCAACATTTACTTTAAAATATTCTTTGTCTCATCATATTTTGTTTTTATTTTTATAGTCCATTTATAGAAAATATTTCTTCCATTCGACAAATGATTGAATTTTTATGAAATGATCAAATATTCCATACATACCTACATACTTTACAGCCGGCATTATTGAAATCAATAAATTCAACTCGATATGATCGAATTTGTATTTTTCCTCGGCATAGAGCTCTCCGGTTCCAGCGTCGAAGCGGCACGTATTGTTTTTCATTTGATCGATGCAGCGGAAGGAAAATTGATATTTCTCGTGCGAAACGCGGGGCGCAAAGTATGCAGTTCATTCTTCAACATAGCCAGGCATGTCGGGGGCCGGCACTGGGGAAAAGAATGGAAGGCGGCTGTAAAAGCTGATGGCCGATTGGATGGTGATTGTTCCTAGTGTGCGCCGCCATGCAGAGTGCACAGAAATCTCCGGAGAGTAAATACATTGGTTGTTTTGAAAACGTTGACATTTTTTTACTAGCGTTTTTCTGCAAGAATTTTATGTTATGAATACGTTACGTGTGTTTGGTACACTCGGTAGACGATATGCAATATCGAAAACTAGAATAGAATAGAAAGGTTCTCTATTTGACTCCTATGAGGAGCGAGAGAGCAGCCCGGATGGATGATGAAGTGCAGGAACCGGGGCGCATAACGCATGGAGCAATATCAAAAATGTAGTCGATTGGAATAAGAATAGAATGTAGAATGAGGTATGAATGCATTTATATCAGCACATGCATTGTCATACATTGTCATTCAAAGAAATCATTCCGTTTCATCTCAAGTAAATCTTATTTTTTTAGATATAAAATGTTAAATAAAAATGCAAATCCAGAAACAATTCGCTGAAGCAAATTATAAACTGCGCAATAAGTTATATCTCTTGGATCTGATGATGCTCTTTCCAAATGGTATAAATGCATAGTTTAAGAAGACTTAGTTAGCCCAGATAGGAGGCGACGCGACCAAGATAATGCGCTTTGATCTCTAACCTTTATCTTCATAACAAAGAAACTTTATATTTCGTGTGCTTCCAGCCGGGAAAAATGGTCGCCGAGGAGCAAAAGTTTTCATCTGCGCTACGCCGAAGCGCCGAAACTATGAAATCCTATAGAAGTAATAAAACTGTAAAAAAGTTAAGAATAAAATGTATGAAAATGCAAAATGATTCAAGAATATGCAAGGAAATGCAAATGCATTTTTCTTTTGATATTATAAGACAGTTTACTCGTACTTGCATAATTTTTCGACTAATTTACAAATTGCGCAAAGTTTTCGTATTAATTTCACAAACTATTGGAAAATTTTACTAATTATTATCGTTCCAAACGAGATAAAAGAAGGGAATTAAATGTTCAGTTACATAATAAAATATTAGCATAATTTTATATGCTTAGATTAAATTATTGTCATCCGTCTTGTATGGTAAATGTCTTTATGATTGTATTAAATTTGTTCCTGACTTTCGAAGAAGTATTATTAATAAAAATAACATTTGACAGGTTGTTTGTTCGAACATTGGCGTGCGGCACGTGAGCAAATATGAAGTTATTTCGAAAACCATTTTTCACTTTTTCACTTGTTTGCTTTCCCGCACCTGCCTGTCCTCTCCTCTCTCGCAGGAGTTTCCCGGGCAGGGGGGCTGCTCTACGCCCCGAAAGAAACGCAAACAACCATCGATCGTAGAGTGAAATACGCGTGTATGCACTCGCACTTCCTGCCCCTCTAGCGTTGGGAACACGAGCGGGGATTGCGGAGTGGCATGCTGCTAATATCTCAGGGGCATCAACTTTGGGGAGCCGTGATTGAACTAAATGAACACAAAATAGGTTCGACGTCTATGGGGACCTTCGACCTTCTAAACCCGAACGAACAAGCACCTTACATAACTCGGAATTATATAGAAGCAAACAGACGTAACAAAACATGCTTTAAGAATGTGTTTGTGTCAAGTTTCGTTCAAGTACAATCAGCAAATCATACCTACTCCTTAAATTTACTGGATACAACCTTGGTGTGACATGAAATGCTCGAAATAAGTTGTCTGGTTGAGAACTCGATGAGACGCTGTCGTAGCGAGATATTGGATCCCGACTTTGGATACATAAATGCACTCGTTGATGACAACGTCTCCGTAGTATTGACAATCAGCAAATAGGATCACCCATGCCACCATATTTGACACTTACAACCCAACACCAACACCCCATCCCGTTTGACAGGCTTTGTCGTCGTTAGCAGATAGTTATTAGTCGATTCGCCGCTATATGAAGCGCATTAGCGGTCGGGTTGATTATAGTTGAGACTGTTGATACTAGTGAATCTGCAGGATTCTGCCTCAAGCCGTTTGCTTGGAGCGGGTCTGTATGAGACATTCCATCGTTACTCCAACACTCTCGTAGTATTGACTTCATACTGGAATTACAATTATGACATGAAAACAGTATAACGCACAGAGATGTGAGGACATGAAGAGCATGAGATGAGGAGCATGAGTACATGACGACGAAATGATATGATGTTATGAAGAGACATCGACGAGTAGACAGCGTTGGCGTTGAATGATGAGCAGATGCACGTTTTGTGTATTTGCTGCATAGAAGATCAGTCTTGCAATGACAATGCGACAAGAAGATAATGAGTTCTACTGAACAATGGAACCACAATGGAAACTAAAATCTGATGCGAGTAAGCTCTAAAAATAACTAATGTTTCAGCACCACATGTAAATAAACAAATAACAAGTTAATTATATATTATTAGATAGTCTCCAATGTCAGTTGGTTGATCGTATATACATCATGATAAAATCGTAGGGCGTTGATACCAAAAATAAACCACTTCTCCATCTCCACCTTCTCGTGTTTCTCGCAGGAAGCGACGTCACCGGAATGATAGTCGCCCCGCAGCGAAACAAGCAAACATCTAATTACGAAATATGTAGCGTCGTTCGTTTGCGCGCCGGATACGAAATTGTATGCCGCACGCATAATTCAATGCCCACTTGAATACCTATTAACCCCTTTTGTGGGACAGTAGAATCTTGTCTGAATGCATGGAATTCTCTCTTCGGAAGTTCCACGAATCATCCTTAAACATACCCCTTGAGACCCACATGTAGATATACTAAAGATACTATGATGAACATGCGAGCAGGATCACTTCAAATCATTCCCTAACTTACTCTAAATATAGCGTCTGCTAGTTTTCACTTTCCAGGTGGTTCGAGCTTGTTTGCCGACGTGTACAACATAATATGTGTAATATCGTGTAGTGCGGATGTACAGAACCTCGTCCTCGATCAACACGAACGCAAAGTGTGTAATTATTGCGTCGCAGCCTTCAGTTCCGCTCTTCCGTTTTAGGGCGCTACTGTTCGCCCGGGGTGGGTGTAGCTTTGAGCAAACACACAACCTGCACGACACCACGCGTGCAGGTCTGTACAAATGGGCGGGACCGTGAAAGAAAAACATAAATCTTACATAAATCAATTTTTAACATATCCTCAACCCTTTTGAATGTACCTATCACCAACATCATGTATTTCAAGGTGATAATCAGTGAAAATAATGGAAATTTTATTGAAATTTTATGTACGGAATAAACTTGGTGTGTGTCGAATTTAAAATTATTTAAATACACATGTTTTATGAAGTTGAACATGCCGTGTCATGGTGGAGGCGCAACATCCGGTATTTCCAACATGTGTTTAAAGTTTGTTACATGTACCTAACAAGTACTTGCGATAAGCGTTAACGATACCAATCTCTTCAATTATCTTGATCTAGAATTTTGATATTATATTACCAACTTAATTTCAGTGTAATAAGTGTTTTGACAAATTGTTTACAAGCATTTTTATAAACTCGAAAAAAGTACTCTGCAGAGTAATCCACAAAGACAAATTGACGTAATACATTCTACATTGGGTACATTGTTCAAGAAACGAGCGCAGAAGCATTACAATAATTATAAGAAGCTTTTATCCAAATGAGAAACAAAATTGCTTTTTCTCATAAAAATGATGTTGATTTAAATATTTTTCTTTTTTTCTCAACACAGTAACCAGGAACGTAAATATTAATTCTAGAAATAAAAAAAAATTGCCAATTTTTATATTAAAAAATAGTATAAAAGCACTTCGAGGACTATATTTAATTAGTAGCTATATCCAACATTTTTGACTAGCTTACCTCACCTTAATTTATTTCGACACTCTTGTCACTCGAGTTTTTGTTTACTCGGTGTTTCACGAACATGAAGAAAACAATAACAATAAGTATATCCAAAGAGTAACCGCCTGTGCGATAGGACGCGGGCGGTTTGCGCTGTATCAAAAAGCAGTAAGT